TTCGATTCGATTCCAAAAGTGATTTAAGCATTCGAAAATTAAATCTCACCCGGCGGATCCGGCGCGGCCCCTTTAGAGTGAAGTGAAACCCCCCTCAAATCAGTCGATCCGAATAAAAGGCTTTTCTTTCTTTTAAGATTATTGAACCGAACCGTCCGAAACTTCGACACGTGACTTGAGAACAGCTCGGAATTATCCTGACACTTTTAAAATTTGGATTTTAGAATGAAATTCTTTAACTTAGCCCAGACCAGAAACAAACTGGCGTCGAGCTCTCATATTTCGATCGATGTACAATTACTGAAGGCTTTAATATGAGGAACCAAAGTGTCAGGACAATTGTACGGCAATTTAGAACACTCTGGTAATCGAGAAAATCGCATTTTAGCGGGATAAAAGCAAAAAAGTGTCTTATGCGCTTCTGTGCTGAAATGCAGGTAACACGAGGTCCCGGAGAGAAAATGTAGTTGAAACTAAAATCACAGATGGCGCAGGGTGGCACACTGCAGCTAATTACGGCATCAAAAACCATGAATCCAGGGGATTTCTGGAGTTTTACATCGATTTTTTTTTTTAATTATTGTACGAAAACGATATATGGATTATGCTATTTAGTGCAGTATCCAATATAATTCGATACAGCTGTCCATATAAATACGGACTTCGGCTACGTAGGTATTTAGAGAAACCTTTTTTTACCGACGTCGGTCAAGTTCCTTCACGTATATCACTTTACCTTAAATCGAGGCGTTGGTTGCAATCGGTGCACTTCCATTTAGCCACTGTTTCCTGAGTCATTCTACGGTCGTAAAGGAAAAAAGAAAAATAGTAAAACCCTCATAAACCCGCGGGAAGTCATGCATTTCCGAACAGGTTTCTCTCGGAAGTAAATTCTTAGTGCCGGGGTAAAGGTTCAAGAAGAAGGAACTGCCAGAAGAGGTCATCCCCTTATCTGGAATAATAGCTTTTCCATTGTACCCAGCTCGCTAAAAATAAACTACAACGCCTAAAAATAAATATCCTGCCAATTATAAATATCCCATGTAGCAATATTAATTGGTACAATATCGGCAAATTGCAGTTCACCTTGCGGGTGAATATTGCGAGCATTGCTCCAATATTAAACCGTGTACATTTTGATTTATTCCCGGAATGTTTTTAATGTAACATTGAAATTAATATTTCATTAGCTCAATGTTGGTTAGTAATTCATAATATTATCCCAATAAGTAACGTTAGGCTGATTATAGCAATGTATTACCGATATTCGTTACTGCAGGGGTTAACATATTAACATGAACGGTCTAAAATGAATAACTCCACTCCTAAAATTGTCTTTCATATTTCAACGCCCGAGCACTTGATTGGTGCTTAACTTTTCATATTTGTAAATGTTACCCGCTGTTATTCTTCACCGAATCAATAATTCTGGCCCGTAATCGACATTTATAGTACCCTAAAAATGTTGGGATGGCTCACTGAGGATGTTTCACTTAACCTTAAAAGAGCGAGCGAAGAATAAATTGTCATACAATTGTCTTGACACATTCATTTCATATATTAGAGCCTTCAATAAAGTGTCGATCTTTCGGACAGATCGGTACAATACTCTTAAAAATAAGTTTTATTCGAATCGACTGATTCGAGGGGTGTTTCACTTAACCTTAAAAGAGCGAGCGAAGAATGGGAGAAAAGGGAAGAGGCGGGAGAGAGAGAGGGAGGACGCATTACCGCGAAGTGATTAAAAACTAACGTCGAATTCACGGCGTGTAACCGTGTTTCCCCATCAGCGCGTGTCTCACGTCATCTTTGTCCTCCTCCAGCCTGGCTCTCTTCATTACCATCCCTGGTTGGCGAGCATCGAGTTCTGCGCAGCCGTGGCCGCGCATGTAGCGGAGTGGGGGGAGGCAGCAGTCGGGGTCGGCGCGCGGTGGGAGGCGGCGCCGGAGTGGGGGTAATAGGATTCGTCGGCGCTGGCAATTTCAACCTTTCAAACTCAATTATAAAATGTATTTACGTAAGAGCGAGCTGAAGTTGGATGTAAAACAAGAGTCGAACGAGCTCTCTCGCCGACTGCCGCGCGAGGACGTTCTTCCTCCCTATTGGCGGAGGTTCGCGGCGGGGGTGGGGAGGGGCGCCGGATGAAAGACGAGGTCGGACCAGGGAGGGGGGAGTTACCGGAGGTAACCAGGAAACTGTCTAAATAATATTTTCTCGGCAGAAGTAACTTCGCCGCGGCAAGTTTTAACGAGATGGAGAGAGGAGCGAGTTTAGTTTCCGCGGGAGGCGGTTTGCGGGGGTGGCGGAGAAAAATGGCGGCCGACCGAGCGACGCCACGCAACGGTTCTGTGGGCCCGCGGAGATTTTTCTCCACTCTGGTGGAAAGGGCTCTAAATTAACGGATCCGATGCAAATCCGATCGGGATTCCCTCGATGGAGGCCGTCGTAGTCGCCACTAGGTCCCGCATAGTTTCGAGTTCCTCCGTCGCGGCGCTGTCAGTCGTTTCCACGGTTACCTCATGTTCTCATAATTCATCGACAAAATCCCAGGATGGTTAAGCCAGATTAAATGGTCCGAATCCTCGCAGCTATATCTTTTGCCGGCTGCAATTAATATGCCATTAGGTTAGGTTAAACTATATCGTCCAAAAGATTATCTAGACCCACAGTCGATATCTTTTACCAGATGCAGTTATGCAGAGATAGGTTATGCGAAAACACCCTGCATCTCCACCGTACTCCTCGATCCGGGATTTATCGGGCCCGGATCCAGTAACTCGCATTTCTCCCTCGCATCAATAATTACGCAGATTAGATCCTGATGGTCTCGATCGTCGCTTAAATTCCAACTTACTGGGCTCGGACTCGATAAATCCCGGATTTCGAGTACATGCAAAAGATTTTCTAGGACCACGACCACATCTTCTTCCTAACGCGATTAACTACGCAGTTGGGTTAAACGACGTTGGGCAGCGCTGCAGGTCGGCCACAGTGCCGCCACCTTTGAGACGTGTCCCGTAACTTCCTGTTCCTCGATTTATCGGCCGTTCTTACATGGGACACCTCGAATGTACCGAAACTCGATGTGAAATTCTTTAATAGACATCCAGGGATTGTTCGGTGAGGTCATTTACTTCTTTATCCGAGATACGAGAGCGACGAGAGACAGAGGGGGACGTAAAGTAGAACGTAAAGTGCAACATAAAGTAGAAATACGATAATGCCCGGAATCCTCTTAGCACCTGCACTATGTGTCACCCTTAAACGTTATCTCACTCACGCACCATCCGGAGATCGTTCCTCCGCATTAAAGCCGCTCTGCGTGCCTCTGCCCCCCTCTTTCTCTCTCTCCCTCTTCCTCATGTTCCCTCTTTCCCTCTCTCTTCCACTCCCGTCGATTCGAGCCTCGGTGTTTACACGTGTTATTCCGCCGTGGGATCGATGGAGCCTCTTCGGGACACTTTTACGAGTCTCTTTTTCGAATTCCCTCCCCCCCCCGCGACGCTTAACGTCAGTTCACTGTCCGAGCCGAACATCGACTTTTCGGTCGTTTCCATCGGGAAGTTGATTAAACTCCTCGCGTTGCCTCCACCCTGCCTCCTGATAAATATCCGAGGGCGTTAACAAACGAGATGTTATGTTAACGAGAGGGACGATGCACGTTTGCTCGATAAATCCTCGCGCTTCTTAAGCTCTTACCGTGCTTTCTTTTTGCGTGGACATTGGTTCTTTATTCTTTATTTATCACTTCTTGACTTATTGTAAACGAGTTATGCCGACGGTTTAAGATCGCATTACTGGTGGGGAAGAATGTTTCTAGATTAAAGTCAAATTCCCCGTGAGAAAGGTTATACGATGATATCCTCATTGTTCTAGATTTTATCTAGATAAGAGGTTATGGATCAGTCAAAGCGTACTAAAGCGTTGTTTTATCAATCTTTCGGTGTAAATAGTGCTGTACCAAGGCGGTACGATACGCACTTTTCACGCGTACCGTGCCAAGACGATACGCGATCGTTTACACCGACGGCTTGATAAATCCACGGATTTAGTACGGGGTAAACTGAGCCTGTGAAGTCAATTTCCGGGGAAGAAATTACCGAGTTAAACCTCGAAGGCTGTTTTGGGACTGTTCATTGTGAGGGTGAACGTTGTTTACAAGGTGGCCGCCAGGGGCGCCGATCGGGGAGAGTAAGAGGCCTTTGGCCGGTGTCGCCTCTGGTGGTCGCTTTGGGAAGCACTCGGGATGCCTCGATACCTCCTTCGCCCATCCCCATTGGTCGCTAGACCTCTATACACGTGAAAGGGGACAACAGCTCGTGAAATAAATCGTCACGGGCACGAGGAGAGGCAGGGGAGACAAGACCGGTGTATTCCGAAGCGCGGAGGGGAGCGAGGGGAGGAATCGGTAGTGAAAGAAAGAGGGAGAGGGGAGGCAGAAGGGCGGGAGAGGAGACGAGGCCTCGATCAATAGGCAGCCGAGTTCCTTCAAAGGAAAATTCCTGGCGCTATTAAATCCAATTTAAAAACTTTTATTCCCCGAGTCCCGGGCCCCGGCGGCAAATTTATTTTCCTCCCGGCCCCTTTGATGGGGAAAGATGGGGAAAGACGGGGAAAGACGGGCGAGCCGGGGAGGGCAAATTGCTAAAAGAATTTTGAACACTATAACGCTATCTATCATCCCCTCCCACGTCCCGGGTGGATTCTTTCATTCGACCTTATTCCCCGACCCTCCCCTTCCGCTCTCCCTTTTTCCATGGCGTTGCCTCGGAGGTGGATTACCCCCTGGACAACGTCTTCCTTCCCTCCCCTCTAGGTTCCTTTTTTTTCTTTATTTTTCTTTTTTCTATACCTCTTCCTTTTCCTCGAAGAACTCGATCTTGTACTCCTCTATTTACATAACTCCCTCATTAAAGGGGATTATTTCCTCCCTTCCCGCGACGTAACTTCGAGGTCGCCCTTCTTAATAATCCTTATTTATTTATTTACTTATCTTCCAGACATTCCACACGCCGAGTTTCGGCGACGAGGACTTCGACATTCCGGCGATACACTCCCACCCGCACCAGCAACACCAGCAACAGCAGCATCACCAGCAGCACGATGCCTTGCACGCTTATCAGCCACAGGTGAGGCTTAGTCATCGAGTCCATCTTCTAGTTTCTATAAGAAGGGTCCCAGATAGAAATTCATGGTCATCGTGTGATGAGAAATATCGATTTACAAACAATTTTCCTTGATGCATGAAAGGTTTGCTACACACACGCGCGTGCGCATTTTATATAGTAAATTTAAACAAAAATTCGGGGTAAATTTGTCATTAATGATTGTAGCAATACATTTACCGCATACTTGAGTCACATGCCAGTTATGCCATAACCGAGATTTATGAGCTGGAGATTTATGGACAATTTAACAGGGGCTGTAACATCATTCCATGGCGTTAATTTGCGGACATTGTATGAAGTTAGTTGATGGTACAAATGTGAGCTAAGTATGACGTTCCTCCATGTTCCCTTTTCCATCATGCCATGACTCAAATATCAGCCAAGGACGCTGCAATTGTTTAATCGGCAATGCGTGAGATAAATTTAGCTGTACATATGCGGACAAACGTTGACACATTGCATGTACTTGAGTTTGTTTCATGTCTGAGTGTTTTTGGTTCGTCACTGTGTCCTGCAGATATGAGTCCCAAATGAGGAGTGATAAGCAACACGCTCGTGACTCATGACCTTTTGTGCATTAATTGATTCAAATTGACCCTTTGTTACAAATTTTGCGTCGCTATGTCTATCTGGGATTGTTCATTCGGAAGTATTGTATTTCGTCGGATTACAGGCACCTGTAAGAATCTTATCGACCCCCTTCCATCGGATATCATGGCGTTTCGCTATAACACGTTTCCTGCGCTTTCAGTGTCCCTCTTTGTCGCGGGTCGTTCCGGTCCATAGAAAAATTCTCCCTAGCCAATAAAGGGTCTCATCTGCAATAAGCAGGGACCCCTTTATATTTTTCTCCTCTATGGTGTATGCGTTATGGCGTAAACGCATGTACCCGCGTCGAGTTATGCGCGCGCACGGCCTTTCCGCAGTAGGAGCGTATTCATGAGCGCGACAGGGAACGACCGAGGGGTCCGTTCATAGAAACGCCTCCCGACGCCTTCCCACGTGTTTCTGCGCTTATTATTCCTGCACGGGGAAATTATTAACGCACCTGTGCACCGCTCTAATGACCGATTCTTCCTGGTATTTACATTACCTCCGCGAATCGGACCGCCCACCTTCTTGTTCACTGCGAAACCGCATCAGGAGAGTTTAGGTTAAATGGCGAGTCTTATCGCCGGTGTTCTCGACGAATCGGTAATATACTACTCACTAAACCTTGAACATAGACGCATGGTTGATGCCTGAATAACGAGTATCTCGAAAAGTCGGGAAATGGAAGCTGAGGTTAAGTTTGGTTTACTTCCTTGATTCGGCGAGAATATCAGTGCTTTCAGTGTGGTATGAGCGTTGACGTAATACAGGTTATGTTTTTGTTTGTGACTCTGTACCTTATTAGTTGATGAAGGAATTAGATGTTGAAGGTTAACTTTGCTTAACTTCGGTAATTGGACGAGAATCAGTGCTTTCAATGTGGTATGAGCGTTGACGTAATAGAGGTTATGTTTTTCTCTCGGACACTGTACTTTATTTGTTAACGTCTAAACGTCAATTGTACACAAAATCGGGGAACATATAAAGGTTATAGTTAATTTCGCGTAACTTCGGTAATCGGGCGAGAATCGGTGCTTTCAATGTGGTACGAGCGTTGACGCAATAGAGGTTATGTTTTCGTCTCGAACGCTGTGCTTTATTGGTGGCGGCGCTGCCATCGCCGTTTTCCCGTAATCGCCCGGCCGGTTACCAAAATTCGGGCCATTATACGTGCCTAACAAACGAGCCGGGGAAATTGCGCGTCCACCGATTGGTGGGCTCCCTGGCTAGTAATTTTCTGGGGATATTGCGTGAGCTTCGGTCCGGGATTGACTCGCGTATGGGGCTGTTTACGGTGCTAGATGGGGCGCGTGATCCTCGCGGAATATCCCCGAAATTGGCGACCTTTTTTTTCCATCGCCGAATCGGTTCATTAAATCCCGGTATTTAATAGCACCGACCTAACGATTCTTTTCTCGTTTTGCCGTCCAAACGAAGCCACTGCCATCTACCGAAATTTACAGAATATTACGGACCTCTTTTACGCTACACGGTACATATATTGTGTCGCTAGATGGCGACTGTGGTAAAGTTAGAAAGAGAGGAACCACAAGTACGGGGGAGAGAGAATGACAGGACGATCGAATCCGTTTCTTTTAAGGGCGCTCACCACTGCAGCGATTTTGCAGGGCCTCACGGAGACAACATTTTTGAGCGTATTTCTAAACCGATCGAGCTCAACGAGTGTTCATATTAAAGATAAAATGTTAACCTCTGTCTACATGGGAGCGATTTTCGATAAGTGCTCATTTTCATATAAAAGAATGCTACGACATAATTTGAATGCTCCTTTAACTAAGGAGTTGCGTTATCGAAAATCGTTCCCATGTGAACAGACGTCAACGTTTTATGTTGAAAACGAGTACTCGTTGAGCCTCGATCGGTTGAGAAATACATTCAAAGTCGTTCTCCCCGTGGAGCGGCTTTTTCGTGATTTTCGGATTCCTCGCGAGGAATTTGAGCTCTCCTTGACAACCATTGCCAAATCTAGGCGTGTGCGTGCGTCCAGGTGACACGCTTCGACGCCAAGTCAGACTCGTTTAGCCGTTGCGTGAGTTCTATACGTGTAGGGCACGCACATATTTTTCTACCGCCCATGGTGCGTAGCGTCTTACTTATCCTAGCGAGAAAGTACGTTTTGGTAACCTCCCACCGAATTCGACGCTAACGCCATCTAGCGGCGGAACTCATCGTCCCCAGTTTGACGGTGAACGCCGTTAACAACGACCGTGATTTGGTATTCGCAGATAATGCAGGGTGGAGGAATGCAACAATCTCCCGATGGGTTGAGTCTGGACCCCGGCGGGTATCAACAGCCTCTTTACTTGCAACAAGAGCACTCGATGCAGCCAATCAACGTTAGGTGAGTCAAGTACGAGCAATCGGCATCTCTAACTACCTACGGCGTCATTAGACAGTAAACAAGGGGCACATAAAAGGTAGATGGGGACGTAGTTTCGGTTTACGTGTTTCGGGATATGCAGTCGGTCCCTAATGTTGACCATAGCGAATGCCTCAACCGCAAGGCTGAGCGGAACCGCAGCGGAAACCGGTGGCGTTTCGGAGCACTCGTTATCTGCACGACATCGACGGGCCCGAGAGGGCTCTCTTTAACGGCACCACCTTCTGCGGTTCCTTTTGCAAACGCGCCTCGTTGTCATTGTTGCGCGCCACCTTGCGGCTGGGGCGCACATAAATCAGGCCCAATTACCAGAGTTTCGGGCCCCTCGGATTCCTCCGCTATCCCGCAAGTCCCGAAACTACCCATCCCTTGTTTGCCCTTAAGGTGATATGAAAGGGTCATTCTATATATTGGGTCTCACATATTCATAGTTTATAGTTAAAGGCAGGATTGCATCCATCCCTTGTTTCCCCTTAAGGTGATATGAAAGGGTCATTCTATATATTAGGTCTCACATATTCATAGTTTATAGTTAAGAACAGGATTGGGTACTACCCATCCCTTGTTTGCCCTTAAGGTGATATGAAAGTGTCATTCTATATATTGGGTCTCACATATTCATAGTTTATAGTTAAGAGCAGGATTGGGGAGGTATTAAATACGTCATGTAATATACGTGGTTTACGTAATATATCGTTTGAAACTTCACCACATTATTATGGACACCCTAAGGAAGAATACGATGCTCGTAAAATTAAAAAAAAAAGTGTATTTTTTTTATTATTCGGAGAAAAGTTTCATAAATATTATCACGTTAGAGGACTAATTGCGGTGGGGGATCGGGTCGAAGAGGAGGACGCGGCGGCCATATTGGCGTTTACACCGGAAGACGGGAAACCGAGAATTTTTTTCCCGGCCCAGAGAGGGAAGGGAGGAAGGTGGAAAAGTTCTCCCGAGAGTCGCAGACGGCGAATACTGCAAATGGAAACGTAAAAGAGTACACAACATGGCGGACATCCAAAGTGGAAGAGGTGGAGAGCGAGAGACATGAAATGCGAGTGGAAAGGAAAGAGGGGGTGGCCGGGGGAGAAGTAGGAAACGTTATAAATGGGAAGGAGAGAGAACTTGCGGGAGAGGGAGAGGAACTCGAGGGGGGGGCAAAATTGACTGTCGAGTAAATTTGATTTTCGAATGCTTGCTCGAAGGCGACTGGGTGGTCGCCGGGGGGGGTTGGGGGGTGGGGAGGGGGAGACGGCTCGGGGTTAGCTTGATGTAGAGTAGGCCGTAAATCCTCCGACGCTGACGCAGCGGCGGCCATATCTCAAAAGTTATCCAATTTGTGTTAAAATAGCATTCAGCCTGCGGATGCTATATTCCACGGTTTCCCTGCCTCCCTGTTCCTTGCCCCCTCCCCCTCCCCCCGTGCCCCCTTCCCCTCGGATGTGCAAAGTATTCACGAAATTCGCAAACGATTTGCCGACTTTGCGGATCGAGGCTTCGTTGGGACCAAGGTACCGAAGGGAATCGTAGACCCGTAGGAGATTTCACGTCGTGAAAGTGGGTAGAGTTCCGCGCCAAATATATGTATAATTTTATATAAGAGCGAAGCCTTGCAATTAGACTTATAGATGTGAAATGTTGATATCTATGAATGTCAGTCTGATGTTGCGTAAAATATTCTTAAAATTTGCTCGCGATTCGCTAATTTTGCATATCGAGGCCTATGTGGGATTGACTAGTGAAGATACCGAAGGGATTCGTAGACCCGTAAGAGATTTCACGTCGTGAAAGTGGGTAGAGTTCCGCGCCAAATATATGTATAATTTTATATGAGAGCGAAGCCTTGCAATTATATTTATAGAACGCGAACGCTAATTGTTTTCAAAGTTCAATATGTTATTTCCACTTATTTCGCGTTATCCAAAATGGCGCCCAATGATACACGTTCTGTTTTTTTTTCTTCAGCTCGGCCTATAGCAGTCCACAAGGGTCGTACTCGACGATGACGTCGCCGGGGCAGCAACACAGTGGTCAGCAGCTGCTGTTGTTGCAGCAGCAACAGCAACAGCAGCACTCCCACCAACAGCAGCAACAGCAGCAGCAACAACAACAGCAGCAGCAGCATCAACAGCAAGTCCAGATGCAGCACATGCAGTACATGCATCCCCAACAACAGATGCAGCAGCAGCAGCAGCAGCAGCAACAACAACAACAGCAACAACAACAACAACAACAACTGCAATATCGAAGCCCAACGGGCGGAAGTCCACCGGCGATGCAACCTAGTGCTACCCCTGAAAACAACAACAACACGACAACCAGCGAAGATAGTGACGATAGCACACCGCATTCGGCGATGGTGAGATCCTCTTCATTTTTTACTTTATCTCTCTTATCACTAATCTCTGCACTGCTTGGTTGTCCCATAAAATCGTGCTGCATTTTTGCATTTGAAAATATTTATTTTATCCAGCGAAAATGAACAGTAATTATTAATATATTCTTTGTCATGAGATAATGGGGATGAAACACCCCCTTTGTTTTCTCTCTTTTTATTTCTCATCTCTGCCGTCTTCGTGGCCAGATCTGTGCGCAGCATACATATATTCAATGTGCACAGTTTGTGGTTAGTGTATTTACTCGGCATTGATGATTCCGCCGCCATCTTTAAGCAGACCTATTATGGGATAAAGTTTAACGGCGCGAGTGCGTAGAATTGCGCTAATATACAAAGAATGGCGCGTCTAATCGGCGCGACTTCCACGCGGATTCCGCAGGAAAGAATCCCACCACCCAAGGCGGGCTTTTTTCGATTCGGGACGAGATAGTAACGAGAAGTCTCTCGTAACGAGCTGAAAACGAGAAGCTACGAGGCAGCCGGGCAATAAGAGAAACAAAGAGATGATTGGGCAGGCAGGCACAACCTAGCAACATACGCAGAACGGGGAAGGTTGCGCCAAGGAACAATGCCCTTTCCAGCCAACATGGCGGACGGCCTCCCTTCCCCTCGACGTAACAGGGATATATAAATCCCCGTTTGACGCCCGAGAAATATCGGCCCTGTTAAAGTAACCGAACGACGTCGTCCCGACGCGTCCCTTGCCGCCATTTTGGCGAACACGAATTAAACCCTACCTTATCGCTTCGTTAATCGACTCGATGTCGCCAATTGTTCTAAAGGCTTCTTTCAACAAAGCTTTTCCACTATGGATATTTAATATCATGCAGGCAGTATGAGAAAAATGCGAATCGATCGTTTCCTTTGAGGCTCTGAAGACTGGAATGAGTTTCGGTGTGATCGATCCGTTGTTAGTTTAATGATAAACGCCGCCATTTCGGTACAGCGGGTCTACGTATCAAACGGATATTAATCACCACCTTTCTAGGTTTAATATTGGCTCATTCGATATCGGGAATTGTTCCTGAGAGAGGCTTCTGTCGATAAAGTTTCGACGAGATTAACACGTAGTATCGACAGATATCGGCCTGTAAAACAACGAAACGACGATCGTAGACGCCATGATGGATCGCGTATTTAACCGTCACTTTCCTTCAAATTTTCGAAAAGGGGACAAAGTTCCGTCGTTATCGAGTCGCGTGGAATTTTTTATTACAATCGACGATATAGCCAAAGAATAGCTAATGTTGCTAGCGAACTGGAATTATCGGTGATTAAAGATTCGTTAGTGATAACCCCATAAACAAACTCATGGTACGTGAATCGAGATTTTGGGGACATCATTTGTGAAAGCAAGCAAAGTTATAAAGTCCCTAGAACTTTAATCGGTCTCTCTCGACAATTTCGAGGAATCTTTTCACGAAGTAGAGAAGCTAGTAAAAGCATGGACCAGCGGAAAAGAGGTTAGGTCGGCGGAGGGGCTTGGGAGCACAGTACCCCTCCTGTGTTCTCCGGGCTTTTCATTATTTCATCGTGTAAATAAACTCGCTCGCTTATAGCCCGTCGTTCCTCCATCTTGTTTACTTTCCGGCCGAGTGGAAGAAATCGTGCTTCTGTAAACCTTGAAGCCTCTTTCGAAATTTCTCCCGGCCGAGAGACGCGTTTCTAGGGTCTGAAAGAAACACGCGGGGATTTTACAGGCCTCTTTGTATGTCGATCCTAAACCCGACTGTTTGACAATAAAAGTCCGACGGTGAAAGTCGCCGGAAACCTGCAAATAGCTCCGAGCCATTCTACAAATTATGCCGAGAAACGAGATTCCTAGGAAATTTAACATCCAATAACTGTTAGCGGGAATTCCGGGACACGACTACTTCTAGCCCTTTTTCCTTTCATTATTTATAAAGCTTCGGTTTAAACGACACTTCGTTACGGTGGATTATACCGAGAGGGGTTTGTTGTGTATTTAGTAAACCTCGTTTTATGCTGTAGTCTACTTATCTCAGTCTTGGATTAAGTGCTTTTTCCGTCGTTATTCAATGTTGTCGGAATTTTCGTATCAGGTGCTTTGCAATTCTTGCGATAATTAGAGATTCGTTTTATCGTTCCAGCTGGCCGGAATAAAGCGACCATCGCCGGAGCCCACGGACTCGGTTAGCAAGGCCCAGAAGAAACCGAAGGGCCAGAAGAAGAAGAAGAAAAGGGACCCGAACGAGCCGCAAAAGTGAGTACCTTTTTTATCTCGCCAATTGGAAGAGGAATTTTACATCAAATTTCTCTTCCTGACTTTTTTAACTGACCATTGCGATAGATGTACTTTAGGAATCCCTGATTACCCCGTAAGAGGAATTCCTAAAGTTGAGTATAATCCCATCATCCATTATCATACTATCATACCATGAGTACGAGCCCATCGAAAGGGTCCCAGTTGGTTACGGATTAGTTGGGCAAGAATTGTTGAAGACTTTGGAAAAATGACGGCACTATGGTTAATTTACAACACGGGATGCTGATAACAAACTAAAAAGGAATAGAAACATTACGCAGGAAGGTTAAGTCAGTCGAAATTATGGGATTTAAATGATTATTTAGAATTGCACCGGGCGTCATTTATTGTGTACTCTGAGAGACATCAATGCCTTCCCATCCTGCACAGGCGATGTCGTATCTGCAGGGGAGGCATTCATGTCCGCTATTGTACAATAGTTTTTAATATTTGTCTTTGATTTGAAGAAGTTGAAAATCTTCTACAGGCAATATACCCGAAGCCCAAATATACTGTACCATTGGGAAAGAGATTGGATGGGATTTTAATGGAATGAATGTTCTACTATATTTGGCGAAAATAGTTGATTTGAGCTTTTCATGGGAAGGAAGCAATTTCAGATGTTTTTGCAATTAATCGAGTAAAGATAAATGTATTTGGCTGTTTTTGTACATCTATTGTGCACAATTATTACGCAGTTAGGTTAGATTAAATCGTACTGCCCAAGAGATTATCTAGAGCTACAATCATTATCTTTTGTCGGACGCAATTATTACATATTTAGGTTAACTCATGTTGCGCAATGCATCATTGCGACAAATTCAATAACTCGTGTCCAGCTGAACCGCGATCAGTTTCCAACACTGTCGATCATAAATTAAAAAAAAAATAAATAAAAATAAATAGAAACATTGCGCAGTAAGATCAGATTAGTCGAATTGATGGCGTTCAAAAGATTATTTAAAATTGCAACGGGCGTAGTTTATTGCATACAATTATTACGTATTTAGGTTAGATTAAATCATAAAGTCCAAGAGATTACCTAGAGCCACGATCCGTATCTTTTGTTGGACGCAATGATATATTATTTAGCAGTTAGGGTAGCAATTTAGTAATTAGGTTAAATCAGATTGAGCGATGCACCATTACGAGAAATTCAATAACTGGTGTCCAGCTGAACCGTGACCAACTGGGAGTCATACGGTCCAGGAAAGAGTGCTTCGCTTTCTCGAAAACGAGAACCGTGCCAGGACCATTCCATTACCAACTCCAGTTGGATCGGAATTTCTCAGCTGGATAGGGACTCGTATATACCCCGTCAAGTTAGAAGCAGAAGGGGAGAGAGACGTGGACATCGTAGCGCAAGTTATTACCTCTGTGAATTGGCAATTACCGTTATTGTTGCAAGCGAAACGTAGAACGGAGAGCTACGGGAATGGGGCTCTCTCTCTTCCTCCCGGGACTGCAGGTGGAAACGGATTGTAGGTGCCTGCGATACCGACCGGGCTCGGCTCCGGGGAGAGGGCGGGAAATTAAAGCGCGAGAAACACTCGCCGGGGAAAGGGGAGAGAGGCAATTCTCATTCTCTGTCCAGGCGGTGTAATGGCGCAATAGTTGAGCTAGATTACACGTTTATGGCCGGATTAGTGATAGCCGGTCGCCGGCGTCGATAAATCCTCCGTACGACTTTACTGACCGGGAACAAAGGCCGGCCAAAGGATTCGGGATTTCTTTTTGTCCTCGCGACTTCGCAAGTACACCTGCGAAGGACGTGACGTTCGATCGTCTCGGTAATGACATCTCGATACGAAAGCGATTAGGCTTTTCTTTGAAGGGGTTGGGTTTATACAGTTTAACGAGAAATTTCTTACGCCACGGTAATTGTTTCTACTACGCGCGAGTTCGCTTATTCCGAACGTGAAATCCTATTTTCTTCGCGGTTAATGATTATAAAACAATCTGAAAGAATTACAGGCTCTACAAAACGGGACGCACTTTCATTATCTCGAACATGGGTCCATGATAAGTTCTTTTAATTGAGAGATAAATATTTTTCGAATTGACGTGCCGAACTTCGGCGTTAATTATTCGGCGTGAAACTCCACCGAGTTTCCTGATTTGCATCTATCTTGTATTTTAGTGTGAATACAATATCCGGATAACGTTTGCGTTAGTTATGTTAGTACCGCGATAATTGCAAAATGATTTTTTTCGGCGTTTAAGGTACATAGGTCAAATTTGTTTGTCTGCAGAAACAACGTTTAGTATCAAGTCCTAATCAACATAAATTTATAATATATAATATGTTATACATTTTATTTGAAAATATGTTAGAGAATTAGTAGACCATGTCTGAGTACAATTTCCAAGGAAGATGCTATAAAATTATAGTAATTTTTTTTTTTTAACAGTGTAACGCTCCGCGACCGACGCAAGACGTGGTTTCTTTACTCGAATGGCGAGTATCACTGCAGAGAGCTTCTGCTTTTTCTCCACATTTATTGCCACCTATTTATCGTGCTCGTCCATCTCGAGGATTACTCTCCGGTCGCTGCCATAAATTAATCCGTTCGAGGTTGTTAGCGATACACCGGTTAGTGCCTCCGGACTCGATCTTTATAGGCAGAAGCCGGAAATTACTTCATTTTTCCTCCTCCCGTTTATCCCTGTCGGGGGGTTTACGACTTTTCGCTGCCCTCGAATGCAGTGTCACTTAATCGGCCTCTGAAAACACGTGGCCATTTATTAGTCCCTTTTATTGATACTCGCCAAGTGGAGGACCCCCTTCTGTACACCGCTGAAAAACATTATCATAATTTTATAACATATTCCTTGGAAGTTTTATTCAGACATGGTATACTAATTTTACAGCATATTTTCAAATTAAATGTATGACATGTATATTATTAATTTAGCGCATATGTGTAATCAATCTCTGATATACGTTATAAATTTCTGTTGATCGGTATTTGACATTAAGCGTTTCTTTTGCAAACAAACAAATTTCACATATGATCCGGACATGTTCGGGGACGATTTTAGAGACAGCTCTACCCCTTAAACGGCGAAGCAAATCTTTTTGCAATTATATCACGGTATTGAGCCCGGAACTCACGGAAAAGTAGCGGGGAAGTTGTCCATGATGCCACCGGAGGTTTCTATTAATTATAATAATTTCTTTTTTTTTAACATTAAATATTTCTCGGACTCAAGAATGTCGCTACGATGTTCCTCCGCCAGTACCATCGATTCTTGTCATCTCTCGATTAAATTTCCTTAAAAGTAAGCCTATGTAAACGATCGTAAAATTACACAGTCATCTAGAAAATTTGCAAATTGCTAAATGACCTGCGGATATCAAATTGATCATTTTTCCTTAGGATTTCACAAAATTACAGTGGTGTTACAAAATTGTTCACTCACTGTTAAGATATCAAATTTGCGATTTTATGTCTTAGAAGTGTAGGGATTTTATGAATTTTTTTTGTTTTTTTTTTCAACGGTGTATGGGGACGTGGAAATTCTTTTTCGCGAACGAGAGGGAGTTTAATGTTACTTTGCGGCGAATTTTTAATCCCTTTTCTGGTGTTCCAGGCCCGTCTCGGCATACGCACTCTTCTTCAGGGACACTCAGGCTGCGATCAAAGGACAAAATCCGACTGCGAGTTTCGGCGAGGTCTCGAAAATCGTCGCCTCTATGTGGGATGCTCTGGAAACCGAGCACAAGAACGTAAGTCATCTTTCAAAGTATTAAAAAGATTCCGAAAATGAGATTCTTTGTCCAGTTTGACGCGCCAGACCAAACATAGCAAATCGCGGGTATCGCGCCTTAATGTATATACACATTTGGCGCGAAACTCTACCGAGTTTTCATACTGAAAAAATGATTTACTTTTTTTATCCTCGATAAGACGAATTTTCTCCTAGGCAGCAGTCGATGAGATAACGCATTTACGTTCTCTTAGTTTTTCCGCAAGTTATCATTTAGATTGAGACCTAATTATCAATGACAATTAGATAAAACTATTCAGATTGAAATCGTTATTACCAGAAAATTAAATGGCAATCGTTGGATATAAGAAATCAGCTGAAGAGTTGTGAAAATTGTTGGCAATAAAAGATCAACTCATAATTCGATTTAAGGGTAAAGAATAGGCAAGATCGTTGTCGATTAGAAATGAGACGTTGGATCAATAAGATCGTAAATGAAAATCAATTCAATTGTCAACGACGAGGGGAAAGTCATCTCCCGGAATAATCTGATAATCAATCGGCGGGTAATCGAATTTAACATCGCGATCGAACGTCGATTCGACGCTCGATTGTCGGCATTAACCTGGGCAGGGATTGCCGCAATCTTGGGTAATTGCGAGTTTTATAGGTACCAATCGGCGGCATCTAATTGCACGGGGAATTGAACGTATGCGGCATAATTGCGAGCCTGATTGCGATCGAAATACAGTGCAGCTCATCATTCTGCAAAGTAGCGAGGGCATGTCGTCTCTTTACGATAGTTGCAAAGAGACTCGCAAAGCTGCGTGCATATCGATGAAAATTGCGAGCACGCATATCGATGAAAATTGCGAGCTTGCGGCTATCGGTCAGGTGCAAATATCAGCTCGTTGAGTTGATGAAGCTACCTGATTAATTGATTATTAAGAGGCTGCTGCTCAATTGCCTCTGGGAGTCGCAGAATTTATCACCTAAGGTGAAATGAAACCCGCCTTAAACCAGTCGATTCGAATTAGTCACTTTTCTTTTTTTAAGAACATTTAATAAAACTAATTGAAATTTCGGCACATGGCTCGTGAGTACCCAATGAATGTCTTGATACGTTCAAAAGTTGGATTTAAGAAAAAAAATCCAAATTTTATCTCCCAAGGTGAAATGAAACCCGCCTTAAACCAGTCTATTCGAGTTAGTAACTTTTTTTAAGAACATTTAATAAAACTAACTGAAATTTCGGCACATGACTCGTGAGCACCTAAGGATGTCTTTATACGTTGAAAATGTGGATTTTCAGAAGAAAACTATTTTACTTAGCTTAGGCCAGAACCAAAATGGCGTTGTGATCTTATATCTCGATTAATACAATTCTGAAGGTGTTGATATGAGAAATGGAACTATCAGAAAGGTTGCCCAACGATTTAGAACACTAATAATCGAGAAACGCGCGTTTAAACGCGATAAAAGCAAATTAAGCGTCTTATGAGCATTTGTGTCGACATGAAGGTAATATGTTCTTTGCGTCCGTGTACTTGGCAAGTTTTTGTATGTGCTTGTGTTCATGCAATGGCATAACTACATTGTATTCATATGCAAATGTGCGCCTTGCTGGTAAAAATGCGGATTTGTTTGTAAATGCAATGTAATTGCGGCATTTCCTGAAATAACGCACAGAAACTTTATGTGAGCACACCAAACAAAAACGCTACATGAGTGCACCCTTAAGGATATATGAAAGTGGTACCTTTAGAGTCAATTGTTTATGAAACTTTTCTCTGAACAGGATGTATTAAATTGTTTGAATCTCTACCACGTTAATATGGAGGCTCTAAGGAATGTCTTGACACCCATGAAATTTCACTTTATACATCAAATTAAAGGTTTTTATAAACAAGTTAAAAAAAAATGAAATTTCATGGGTGTCAGAACCTTCCTTAGAGTTGCTATATTCACGTAGTAACGTTTCCAACGATTCGGTGTACCCAGTTTGAAAAAAAAAAAAAAAAGTTGCATAAATGAGACCGCTCAGACGTCATTTTTATGTCACCTTAAACATTATTCCGTGTGGAAACAGAAGCAGAAAAAACGCGTAGATAACTGAAATTGATGGATTACTGAAACAAAATTGTTTTAATGGCAGAATTCCACGCCTCGCCTTGAGAAACGTCGAGTGTTTGTTCGTGATTTTCAGTTTTCCTTATCGGTCCGCTGGAATTTCTAGCCTAATGAAATGTTGTCAGCACAGCGAGTGCTGATAGGGCAGCCTGAATAACTTTATCAGCGCAACGAGTGCTGATAAGGCGGCCAGAATAATTAGTAATTAGGCGCAACGAGGTTACGGCCGGCAGCGAAGACACGAACCTCTCGAGGGAACCACTTTGGGTTTGGAAAGACAAAAGACATTCTTTTTTGGGAATTCATAAGAGCACATCTCGTATTTTGTCCTCGTGCATTACCGCTAAAAGGAATTCTTAAATTTTTCCTCGAGCTGAGAGATTTACATGAGAAGATTTACGAAAGGACATTGAGGTAGAAAAAAAAGGGGAAAAAAAAATTGAAAATATTAAACCAACTGAACGGTGATGTTGTTTCTTGTGCTTTCATTTTATTAATGTGAAAATTATGTAACTGTGCGTAAATGTGCATTTTATGAAAGAAGGCTGTCTTAGAAAGTGAAACTTTTCTTACAGTTCACTATTAACATTCATAATTGTGTTTCATTATTCAGTTAATTTGCGTAAACATTTTCGTTAACATTAGCGCGTTGTTCTCTGAAGTAATCGTTTCCTTTTTCATCAGTCTTCAAACTTTTTTCCCGTTCTTCTCCTTTTTTCTAACTGAGTGCTCAGCTTCTCATGTTCATGTAAGATCTAAAGTTAATTTAAAAAGTTCTATTTTCCTTCCTTTTGTGCTTTTCTTATCTTCTTCTCCTTTTCATTGTCACTACTCTTCATATAACGTTACGAGGAATTGTTCATTTTGAGATCGCAGAGTTAACAACTACGCAAGTCAGTAAAATCCTCGATTCCATATCGAGTAGCTTAGTTCAAAGTTCACATATGAAAACCTCGGGAATATTTGCAACGACCTAATAAATAAAACCCGAATAGATTGGCGAGTGCGGCGAGATAATCCGGCGGAAATTGTCCTTTAATTCGTGCCGAATGCAGAACAGCGCCACTTTCGGCTCCGAATGGAACGACGATTAAATTCCTTTTCCGCTGATTCGAGCACGACGCGCTCATAAAATGTCCGTTTATTCCCGGGGTCGGCTTGTTTCCTCGATTTCCGAGGCGAGTCGGCCACGGCGGAGCGAGGAATTAAAATTAAAATGAAAATTTGTTGCTTGCGACCCGGGGGGTGGGGCGCCGGTAAAGCAGTGCTCAGCCGTACCGAGTAGACGGCAGCGCCGCCGCCGCAGTGGCGGGGCGCGTAATTAAATTCGGGCTCAATTAATATCATAATGAAAATCTCGTGACGCTCTGTGTCGCGCTCACAGTTCCTCTCTTTAATTCGATTAAGGGCTTACCTATTCGAGCCCTACGGTCGACGCAGTAATAATGATGATAATCCGACACCGCCGGTGCCTTTATCAGTAATGAGCTGATAAAGACGTTTTCTGTATACATGGCGTCCCAAATCTCGTACTAATCCCTGAAACTGTTGAAAGTTGATGAAATTTCAAGCCGACTTTTTTCTCGGATGATTATTCAACGAGTTATTAACGATTAATGTTGGCGTCCCCCGACACTCCATTATTAAATAAATCCTTTACCAATAAACAATTGCAATAGCAAACCTTGAGTGACCGAAGGCGATTGTTATCATTTACTGCGTTGAAAATTAGTTAAATCAATACCTCTTCAGTAGATGAAGGTAACTCATTTACGTAATTTAGCGAATTAATAATTCATGAGTTCCTACAGATGCTGTTCTTTAAACAATGAATTTATTCAGAAATTGAGAATAAAAGGAGAGTGAAATAGAAAAATGTGCACCGATCTGCCACCTGTGACTTGCTTATTCGAGATTAACCACCTTTAATTTTTAACTATTTACAACGCTACGAGACTTTAACTTGTGAATTTTCAGGTCTACAAGAAGAAGACTGTGAAGCTTATTGCTGCTTATTCGAGATTAACCAACTTTAATTTTTAACTATTTACAACGCTACGAGACTTTAACTTGTGAATTTTCAGGTCTACAAGAAGAAGACTGAAGCGGCCAAGAAGGAGTACTTGAAGGCCCTAGCAGCGTATAGGGCGTCGCTGGTCAGCAAGGGCGCCGGCGAGAACGAGCAGCAGCAACAGCAGCAACCGGTCCAATATGCCGGATACGGAGGTTACGGAGGCAACGGTGCACCTGGAAACGTTGCTTACCAGGTGTACAGCCCGCAACCCCAGCCCCCGTCGCCCCAGCAGCAGCACCAGCAACATCAGCAGCACCAGCAGCACCAGCAGCACCAGCAGCACCAACAGCACCAGCAGCACCAGCAGCAGCAGCAGCAGCAACAAATGACCATCAAGAAGTCCCCGCACCACCTAGCTGCTATGCAAGGAAATCCCCAGCAACAGCAGCAACAGGTTTGTGTAGTCTTCTTAATCGGATGCACTTGTTCAAACGGAAATAAAAAGATCTTTGATTGTACGTTGCATTACAAATCGCCTGCCCATGTGGCGTTTCTTGCAGTCGACAAAAAAACAATCAACACGTGCGCTTGTTTCAGGGATTAATGGGCAATCCGATGGCACCGCCACACATGACGCAGCAGCAACACATGCAGCAACAAGTATCGCAGCAGCAGTACATGCAGCAGGTCGGTATATTCGAAATTCCCGTGCTCGGTGGCAATCGACCATCCTTGGTTCGGGTCTAATGGCACGTAAATTCCTGTATGAGCTACTCTTAGACATTTGTTGCTGATAGTACTTGCGATACTGGAAGCGAACTCACATTATCCAGCAACTGTTACGTTCGCTACACTGTCAGTACCAAATATCTCATATCCATGAAACTGGGCAAGTTCTTGGCTAAAGGGTGGATTTAATTGCTGGAGGGACTCGCAGCAATATATTTCCTGCACATTAGTTGCAGATAATGCACAGGCAGGATGCTCTTGCGAGAAGTATTTCATGTTTCTTGCCAATGGACTCGAATGTTTAGATGGGAGCGGATGGAGGGCATCATTTGCAACGGTTTCCGGTTCTTCGGTTGCAGGTACCCCAGCAACAGGTGCAGCAGGTGCAGGTGCAGCAACAGATGCTGCACATGAGCCCACCCAGGGGAGACTCGTTGTCGAGTCCCCCGCCGGTGGCCAACTCCCAGGGGATGGGTGGACAACGTCCACCTGCGAACGCCTGCATCCGCAGGGGTTGCCCCAACCCTGCAGTCGCCAACAGCGAGTGGGAGGATGAGTATTGCAGCAATGAGTGTGTGGTCAGCCACTGCAGGTTTGTGTGAGCATTCCCCTTTTTGCCTTCTCTTCGACTACTTGACCGACCTTAGTAGGGTTAGAGAGGAGGGACCAGGGCTTGGGGAAACTTCCATCGTGTAGGGATTTAACATGTTTCGTGCCACGTGTACCAACGTGGTACACGTTCAGCTCGGATGGTACACGGCTCCGCACGGAACGTGTTAACGCCTTTATCGAGGCGGAATTCAATATCAGAGCACTCGGCAACCTTATCAGGACTCTTCGTGTCCGTTGTTACGTCCTTGGTTTCAACATCACTTTTTAGAGAAAAATGTGATATAATCGTCATTAATATATCCTCAACATTCAAGATCGTATATGTACATTAAATTCGTTTCGCAAGATCACGCACTTGATCCTGACATGCTATCATTAGTCTCAATCTTACTAGATCAATCTTCCAGTAGTCAAGAGATTTCTTTGACAAGGAACGTTTAAATAGCCGTAAGTAATTAATTCCGCCTCGAGAAGAAATGATTAAGTCAGCGTATAACGAGTAGTACCGTGCGTTGACCCAAAATTCATAAATTTGGGGTGCTTGCCAACAACCGAGCACCTTCAGGAACATCTCGCGAGAAGTCGAGGATCCATAACAATTGGGGACAGAGAGCGAGGTCTAGCGAGGACTGTTAGGAGGACATGAAATCATAAGGGACACTCGGTCGCCGCAGGTAGGCAAGGCAGAGAAAAGAGTCTCCTGCCTCCAGGTGAGACCGGTAGAATAACCGGGTATGGGAATTCTGTTTCAGGGACGTCTTCACCACGTGGGTATCGTCGAATCAAAACCCCCAGCAGAACTTCTCCACGGTGAAATAAGAAGCGGCCGTCGATAGGAGTTCTTCGACTACACGGAGGCCTCGCGCCCAGGGGCCGTTGTTGACCCGTTGACATGTAACTTCGTACACGATATGTAAATAGGCACAGCGAGGAACTCGCCGGATGAGAGCGACCGGATGTGACGGGCCGAGATTCGGAATTGGGGAACGAGACGTGCAAGCTTATCCTGCCCCAATGCCGAAGACGAAGGCTGGCTCCATCGGGCGAGGGCTGGACGGAGGAGAGAAAGAGAGTGAGAGAGAGTGAGAGACTTTCGTCCTTGGCGGAATTTCCCGAAGACGTTGTCGCGGATCGAGAGAGGATTTTCCTGGGCCGAGGGTCCTAGAGACGAAGCCTTAGGGGAGATCATCCTGGACCGAAGGTGAGTCCTCGTTAGCGGTGCCGAAGACGGAGGAAGAACAGGACACGAAAGGGACACTTCCTATTCCCACCTGGAGACGCGCGGTCTACCCGGAGGGGACTCGCTCCCATCAGCAATGGACCTGACCTTCGATTTCTGGGATACGGGCGGACCTTAACGCCGTTTCAAACCTTTGCATTTATTAACTACTCGCGACTAATGCTAGGCTTCTCCTTGGAGAAGCCAGCAAGAAGGGCGAAACGGGATCCGGGAGGCCTTCCAACTCTCCCTAGGTCTTGCGAAAGGATCAGGTCCTCCTCTGCTGGGAATCGCCACGTCCTGAAGATATCGACACTCCCGACTTAACTCTATCGATCGCGGATAAGGGAGGAGATTGAGAGATATCGTGGCGATTCCCTGCAAAGCGCATCCTTGGACTCTAGGTGTGGTGGTTCCACAATTGCGCTCCTCTTCAAGTAATAGCGGATGAATTGTACACGTAAGGTGGAGGACGCGCGGCCAGGAGGCGAATCGCTTGTAAATAGCTCTTTGGGCCGATCTAGGTACTTTGTATTTTCGCCGTCGAGCCGGATCGGGTGTCCCGATGACACCCGGAGTCCTGGCAGTGCCATGGCCGAGGTTAAACGTTTTATCTTAAACGTTTCTAGATAGGAACGCGGAGGTATAAGTAACGTCGATCGAGAGGGTGCTGGTAGGAGCCGCCAGAATGTTCCAAGAGGTTCTGGGAGGTCCCAGGAAGTCCCAGGGGTCCTAGAAATTCCCTGGAGATCCCAGATCGTCCCAGGAGGTCCCGGATGATCCCAGGAGGTCCCAGATGATCCCAGGAGATCCCGAGGTCATTTTATAGTGGAGAAGTGGCGAAACCATAGGTTTCTAGTTCCTGATCTCGTACCTGGTTCGGTACCATGTCGCGGCTGGCTCGGTAACCGGGTTCCCGATCGGAGGAACGTCTCACACCGTCTTCCTGATGATAGCTCGGTCTTGGACAGGATCTTAGAGCTTACGGAATCGGAGAGGACATTGTTTAATACATATACACTAAATTGTTCAAATCTACAGTGGTGGTTAGACGGAAAATCATTCGTTTCTAGACTCTTCCAGAAGTAAGCTGAGCGCGCATTATAAGACTTTTGGTACACAAAGTCTAACCGTGGACAGTAAATAATAAAACACGGAAAGAAATTTGTTTCTATTAAATGGGAAATTTATTTAGTTAACCTCATCGAATACCTTAACATTTGTTAAGGCGTTCGATAAAGTTGAGGTTTAAGTATATCTTGCAATTTGTTATTTTCAATGGGAAATTTAGTTTTATTTATTAAGTATCTCTCTTTCCCAATGAAATACGATATATATTCTACACTTGTGCGGTAAGAACTTCTGGAAGAAGTATAAAGACGGAAGACAACAATCTGTCTAACTACCTTTGGAAATCTTCCCTCTTACCTGTCTTGCAATTTAGGTTTATTTTTTATTTTTTTTTCAATGATAAGTTTATTCATTTTGAGGTACCTCTCATGACAAAGTACTACGATGTAGTCTATGCTTGCTTCTTAAGGATTTTTGGCAAAGCTAGGAACGGAAGATACCCCATTGTCTAATTTTCATGGTACATCGTTATCTATATATTGTCACCTCCATTTCTATAAGCTGTATGGATAGGAAGCGCGTCTCTTGTTCATTTCTCGAAGGTCAGGATAATTGTCTGCTGCAAAAGGAGATAATCCCATGTAATTCCGACAAATATCTCGCTTCACCAGGGAATAACTTCCTGTTAGGTCGCTAGGAATTGCTTGTTCAAAGTGCAGAATCTTCGCAATTGTTGGATCGCTTAAGGTGGACTTTGGTGAAACTAGACAAAAGATGGAAAAAAAATCGATTCTTTTGCCGGTTTCACTCGGTGTGCGAATTTAACTAACGAGGGTCCAGCTCTGACGAAGGAACTTAGGAACGCACTTGGATCACGCACTTCCTTTTTCTCTTTGTTTGCTTTCATACGCCGATGTTTGTTGGACGAGTCCAGCTGTTGCAACTGGGCTAATCCGAACGCTGGGAGACAGAAATTACACCCTACGGTTTTAGCTAAGAACATAAGCAAATGTACACGCACTACTAGAAGCGCAATTTAAGAGCCAGTACATGGTACAAGGACCAATTTCCTTTAATTTCCCTTATCACGAGTACTTTTGGATCTTCGGGTCTTCTAATTTATGCGACGAAATGCCGCCAATAACGAAATTCAGCGTCCAGACGATTCGCACATTCACGATGGCAAATATCTTTAGATTCGTCCTCGCGTTCAAAGCACTGTAAAGGCGCAGGTCGGCCATTTTGAATTCCCGGCGTCAGAAGCGAAGAAATAGTGTTAATTTCCGCCGGGTATTTGGCTCATTTTCTCACGTTTGGCGATGCCCCGAGCACAGATATGAAAGAATAACACATTTCGAAAATATCTATTCCCTTTTTCTCCTGATTTTCGTGGTAAAATACCTTTTTTTGTCGCGGAATACCCAGTGGAAGTTTCGCGCGGTTTCCTCGACTCGGGCGGCACAATCCAATATGGCCGCCATGGCGTCGCTGGGCCTTTAAGGGCGATTGGGGTCTCAAGATGGGAACGTAGAAGGTCGGGACCTCCTCTGGTAGACTTATTTTTGTATCGTCTCTGCAGGCAGCGCGTGACAATTCGTAAACGTTAAATGACAAATGCACGCGTGCTGGCACTCGGAAGTGCGGACTCTTTTCTAACGGCGATGCGAGATCACGAGTGCTATTAGATTTCTACACTTGTAAAGCGGAGTTTTTCGAAAGACCGGAGGTCTGCAGGGCCCTTCCGAGGTCGAAGGGCGATGAGAGGGACGTTTCACCGACGGAAATTAAAATCTAGGAGAAGGAATATTACCAAACTCTCGAGAAACAAGAACATCGCTCCTGCGCAGAATCAATGGCGTCGTTCGGAGCGGATCGTCTCTCTCATCGTCAGGGCGAAATCGTTATATTTTACGAGAAGGGAAAGGTAAATAAAAAATCAAGGGACCGAGAGGACGTCCGGTCGTGCCGTGGCTCGAGCTTTTTATTTAACGTTAAACTCGCCCAGGAATTTCGTAGCTTTTATATATAACAATATATCCGAGACGACCGGGAGACAAGCCCGACAAGGGCCCGCCCTGTTACATCGTTCTCTCCTTGATTCTCGAGCTAGTTATTAATTATTTAGCCGTTCCCGCCTCGGGCTCTGAGGCGACAGCTACATATGTATATCGTTATCGACTATTACAAACAATTGGAGGGCGAGGAGGGAGTCCGCGGGTTTTTCTTTATTTGTGGAACTCGCTCGAGGTGCCCAAGAACCGGGTCCATCTTGGAGACATGTAAGACGAGCGACCGAAAGAAATCCAGAATTTTCTTCCGTCACTTGTCTAGATAATTATCGAAATCACGGACTTCCTTGCGAGAAGACTTCGCTGAACCTGGCACTCGCAAATATTCCGTTCTCTTGGGGATCTTCTGTAATAAACATCCCTTTAGATCGAGGGACGAGTAACGGCCAGTCGGCCATATTGAATCGCGACGTTAGATCGAAGAATTCCCATGAAATTCCCATATAGGACCCGATTTACCACGTTTTCGTCGATAAGTGGATACCGTATTGATTAGGATGTGTAAAATGTGTCAACTGGTCGGTATTTGCGATGATATTGCGTTTATTATCGAATTATCGCCTCAAAATCGTAAGCCTTGCGGTTGGTCTAACGCGTCGATTTTCCGAGTGTAATAACTCGCTTTTTAATGCACAATCCATTAGAAACTGATTAGCTGACACATTTCTAGATTCTCTGGTTTCTTTAGACGTAATCTCCGCCAGCAAATGCCATTTGCTCTGCGAAAAATACCCCCGGGGAAATTTTACGGGATTTCTTCGTCTCCGAGTCGGAAAATCCAATATGGCCGCCTCGGCTTTACAAGTCCTTAAGTAAATACGGCACGGGAAGTTGATTTTCTTTAACCCCAGCCAGCTCGAGGAACCCTGTATAACGTCAGGAGAGGATGAAGAGGATCTTCTCGAAGCTCTTAAAGAAAACTTGAGGTTTTTCCTCGATGGACGTTCCGTGTAATCTTGGAGGCACCTCGCGCGACAACGCGGACAAGCTCTCGCCAGAGATGGGCATCTGCGATCGTTTCTATTTAATTGCTCGCCAATGACTCGGTTTCCCTGCTCCGAAAAAGCGACATCCACTCGAGGCTCTTTGAATATAATTTCTTCGGAAATACCAGCCGCCACGTAAACGCGTTAAGAGCTTCGCGACGAGTTTCTAAGTCGATTGGTTCTTCCCCTTTTTCCCGGGAAATGGGTGTCCATCTTTGGCTGACGCAATCGTTGGTTTTCATATTATTTTTATGTAAATACATAAATATATTCTCTATAGATTTATTATAGGTTGTAATGTACACATAATCCATACTGTATTATACTGATAATGATTTGTGGTATATTAAAAGTATATATATATATATATATATATATAAATATATATAAATATAAATATAGGATAAAGATATATAATTATGGTTTACGAGAGAGGAGGAGCGATGCATTTTCGAGACGAATGGCGGAAGGAGGCAGAGAGACGATTAGAGGACGAAGGCACTGATAAGGATGGAAAAGGGAGGGAAATATCGCGGTTTCCTGGAATTCTCGTTCATGTACAACCCCCCCGACTCACGATTGCAGGCACGACCTCCGCGACACACTAATCACAATTGCATAAGCCTATTATTAAGGAGAAATAAGTCTAGAGACCTATCGAGCATATATGGTAGTACGGCATTACGCATCAAATGCTAATATATGATGGTGATTTGCAATGAGTTTATGTTCGTTTTTATTGTTTTCTGTACAAAGACTTAATTAAACGATTTCAGTCCCAGTTGGGCGTTCGATTTCTTCCACGGCCCTTGTCCTGAAAAATAAAAAAAAAGAAAAAAAAATGAAAAAAGAGTAACTCGCAAGATGACACTAACAAGGAAGGTATCCCAGGTCGATTTCTTTTATAATATGTTATAGTAGACTAAAAACTAAGCGACACGTATTTTTTTTCATCTGCCATTAAACACTTTAAGGGGGTGAAACCACCATCCAAAGAAAGGCATGTCAAGGGGCGATTTGGCAGTCTCACCCACAAGAACATATTTTTTAACCATCCACCTGGAAAAGCTTTCTCATAACGAGAAATGAAAAATATAATTTTCTCAATTAAAAGAAGAAAAAATTAAGGGGTGAGCCACCCCTCACAGGCCTTACTTTGGATGGTGGTTTCACCCCCTTAATGTGTTTAATGGCAGATAAAGAAAAATACGTGTCGCTTAGTTTTTAGTCTATTATAACATGTTATAAAAGAAATGAAATCGGAGAGATCGACCTGGGATACCTTCTTTGTAAGTCTAGATTAAGTCTACATGTTGGAAAAGATGTCAAGTCTTGCATTAAGGTGATGCGATAGTGGCGTCAGAGTTCCCGTTCATGAAACTTTTCCTCAAACTAGGATGTACCAAATCGGCATAAACTTTACAATATAATTATGGAGGGTATAAGGAAGGTCCTGAAAGTCATCTAATGTCAATATTTACAACATTTGTTATGAACAAATGAATTCTCATCAGTGTCAGGACCTTCCTCATAGCCTCCACGTTCGCGTTTTATACTGTTTTCTATATATCACGTTTTACATTATACTAGTTTCTATATATCACGTTTTACGTTATACTATTTTCTATATATCATGTTTTACGTTATACTATTTTCTATATATCACGTTTTATACAAGTTTGATACTATTCGGCATGGTGAGTTCAGAGACAAGTTTCATGATTGCCACTTTCCCTGCCCCTTAGGTCTACATTCTGTTGGGTCGTCGGAAAAGTAATGGCGCATTTTCCTCGCAGATTTTCGCAACGAAATGCGTCATCACTTTTACAGCGTAATACAGGTAACTTACCTTGAAGGAACTGTCGGTCAAAGCGGAGAGCAGCAGAGAGTTGACAATGGAATCTTAATCGGTGTTATCGTTACGCGTTATCTCACCCAAGACTGCACGTGTACGGAATGATTTAACACAATGACTATAATTTTATTTAAAATTAATTTAGGAGGTACATTTATATACATAAAAAAAGTATGGCTATTACAGTGACCGTAAGTAATAGTAGTAGAACGTCTCGTGTGTACATGTAACATTACAATAGTAGACTCGTGTTGTCCCTTATACTCAACATCCAGCTGTAGGCTTATCCCTTAACGCGTAATTTGTATCAGCGCTTGCTCTCTCTCTCTCTCTCTCTTCCTCTCTCTTTTTTTTTTCTCTCGATTACGAATGATACCGGAATGTCAAAAGTTCCTAGCCGCTTCATTTAAACCTCTATACAAGAGCCGGCGAAACGTAGAACGTATGGACCCAGTAATTGCTATTCTTGATATTCTTCCGAAGATAGCGAAAAGGATAGAGCGAGCGACAGGCTATAGTCTCTCTTTTTCACTCTTACTGTTAGGCTATATCATCGTATGGCACCGTGGACCTATTATACCTAAAAAGAGGGAAATTATAAGAATATAGCCTCTCTGTTCTCTTCTTTTAGTATTGCCTTCATAGTCTGATCAAGATTCAAGGTATATATATCCTATGTCCATGGATCTAATATTAAAGGCTCTCTTTTTTAGCGTTGTCTTTATAGTCTGATCAAGTATCAAGGTATATGTATCCTACGCCCAAGATTCTAACTTAGAAGGCAACAGAAAGAGGAAAAACAATGGGGGGCTGTCTTTTCCCTCTTTTGCCATTTGCCGCCTTATTGTGCCACACAACTGTCCGAGGGGGTGTTCGCTCAGGAAATCATGTATTTTAACTCTCGAAATCACGTGGGAAATCAGGTGAAAATCGCAAGCAGAAGTCCCTGACAATTGGCAATCCCCAAAACCACAGTGACAATTATTAAGGCCGAGCGTCACATGTTACCAAATCGCATTGTCTATCGTATGAAATCAAAGGCAATCGGCTCTCAAAGAGGGAAATCGTATTCACAGATTTCAAAGTGAATAGCCCCTATCAACTGTGACCTAAAAAGGTAGAAAAGGCGTAAGAAAACAGCCCCTTTCACCTCTTGCTGTTTTCAAATCCGCATACATGGGTCCATACACTCTAGGTACAATAGCGGACATGAATGGCTCCCCTGCAGATACGGCATCGCCTGTGCAGGCTGGGAGGGCATTGATGTCTCCCGGCGCTCACCGACTCGACCTCCATCTCCTAGGCCGAAGGAGGAGAATCCCGACTCACCTCTCCCTTCCTCTCTCTTCTCGCCACTAACTGCCGCAACAATCAAATCGAACACGACAAAACAACGACACCGTCTCCCCCCGAGTTCCACGACTACGAAGTACAGCCTAAAGGTCGCGCTTTGCGAACGAATCCGAGAAAAAGCGCCGCTGGAACCAAAATGGCGTCTCCGCCGTAACAAGCCGATGAATGCCCCAAAGGCATCGATAAATATCCCAAAAATGAAACCGACCGTGGAAATAAATCTGCATATCTCTCTTCCCTGGGACTATTAATTGACCTGTGCCTCCCTGGTTCTCTTTCGTTCCTTTCTTTTACCTATTTCGTTCGAATATCCAATATACGTACATGTAAGAGCTCGTTCGCAAAACGCGACGCGCTAATCTACGAAAAATCCTCCAGATCCAATCGACGTTACATTTAGACAAGGAGCGTTCCACCTTATTAGTAATAATCACCACGAATGTTTGCAAAATCGCACCTACACATGCGGACATCGTCGCACTCTCGTCCACACCTACACGCAGGCTGGGCACGCACACGAAACAGCGAATCGACTCGATCGTCATTAGGATCGACAAAAAGAAGAGAAGAGAAACGAAAAGCTAACCGGCCGTTCCACGATTTTCCTGGGCAACACTTAACACTGAGATTCTCGCGACGGAACGCATTAATAATCCTTATCTTACGCAGTGACATATACATATATACGCTATACAATATACATACTTTGATATACGTATATATATAATATATATATACTCCTTTTATCTGTATGTCAAAATCTATATCCATAATCATATATATATATATATATATAATATATATATAGTATCTTTACTTCGTTCAATAATAAATTTTTCATATATATATCATTTTTCAACTTTCTCGTAAAATGCATGACACAAAAATAAATGCTTGTATCTTCTCGATTATATCATTTTCTTTCTTTCTCCCCGACGAACCCCCGCCCTCTCCGTCTCTCGCGCGTCTCTCCCTCCCTCGGGTTAATTAAACTTTAGTATATTTAATTAAAACTTTACAAAATATCACAAAAATCGCACCAGCCTTTGTTCGCAGCAGAAAACGAAAAGTCGCCTGAAAACGAGCAAGCCTTAGCGGATGAAGAGCCCATCGGTTCTCCTTTACCTTAACCTTCCCTAATTTCTCACATTAATGCTAAAGTTCCTCCCTTCTCCTCTCTCCCTCTCTCTCTCTCTGCATTTAGCTCTCGGTTTCTTCCTCTCGCCTCGCTTTGAGCTGCGGGTCATATTACATTAGGAAATGGCAATTACTCGAGCTCTGGCGATGAAAGAGAAGGTGGAAAACTCTTTTACAAAGCGAGCTGAAATGTATGGAGTGCAAGAGCGCTATCCCCCGCATTTCCGGTGAGAAAAGAGAGGCAGAGGAAACGGGAGCTCGCGAAAGAGAGAGGGAGAAGTGGGAACGGAGAGACGGGGAGGGAGAGAGAGAGAGAGAAAAAGAGAGCGGGGTTAAAAGCGCCAGTGGCCAGCACGACGCGAAAGAAATTCCCGGAGAAATTCTAGAGCCTACTGTCTTTTATCGAGTCAAAAGTCCTCTTCCTCGCCGATCGTTTCAGCTACTTCCTGTTGGCAAGGACCCCGAAGAGGTCTTAGGGGATATTAATCGCGAGACGCGCTTCTTTCCCTGCGACTTTGGGGGTATTTCGTTGTCCTCCAGTAAGACACTTATTTCCCGAGTTCTGCCCCAAAGGCAGAAAACTGAAACCCCCGTCTAGGGCGAAAGAACAGGATGTCTTTCCTATTCCGGCAGGGCTGGCATGGAGTCGGGTTTTAAGATCCACGTGCTTTCCTTTTCGTGCGGCTAAATACATTTCTGATACATCTACCGGCAGCGTCAGCGCCGCCATCTTTGACACAACGAGGAAGAGTGAGCCAGACTTCCCGGATTCGCAACTGCGGTCCAGGGTTTAAAAAGCCTCCACCCGTTGGTGGGGGTTCGTTCTTCTCGTCTTCGTCTCCTCTTTTCTTCGAGGAATGAATGGCGAGGAAATATCCCGGAGGAAACCACCAAGACGTTCCCGTTGTTCCGTGCCAACCCTGCTGGTCGACGACTCAACAAAACGCGTCCTTTCAGGAGAGCGGTGAACGGAGGAGAGAACACTATAGCCCCTTACAGACTGGCCAACAATAAATATAGAACGACAATAAACAACAATTGAGAACATCTTCCCCTCTCACAATGATTCCCTCGTTACGCGCCTCTCCCTATTTTTCTCGTCGCCCTGAAGAGCAACCCTCTCAGCACCCAGGGAGTCTTCCAGGGCAGATCCTGGCCACGCCGGCTGGACCTTCCAACCTTCCACATCATCTTCAGGGACGCGTCGGCATCTCGATTGAAGTAATCGAAACCGTGGCTGGAGCAATCGAGGGCTTCCTTCTCTGCCACGCGGACCCTGAACTTCCCGAAGAGGAGGGCCACCTCGCCGGACCCCTTGGGGACTGCATCGGCCATCTTGGATGAGCCGATGGAAATGAGATTATTAACCGTGGTCCATCTCGAGGGATTACCTTCATTTCGCCTCGTCCTGCTCCATCGGCTCCTCGGAAACTTCGCGGGAATGTTCGGGCGTGGTCCTGCGAATTTTCAAATGGACTTTGTCATTTCCAGTACACCGCGGAGCCGGGTGAAGAACTTCTCCCAAGCTGAAGAGCGAACTTCCGAAACTTGTGAGGAATTGAGGAGCTTAAGATGATACGAAAGAAGCTGAGGAATTTAATCCAGGTCGATATATTAAAATTCATTTATACCCCTTTTAGCGGTAACGTCATATTGAATACTCAAGTGGTAACATAAGCTGGCGCGTCCCGTTACCGACATTTATAATTATGTTGAAGTCTTTTACAGTCTACGTTGAGAATTATACGAACTGAGGTCTTCCATATGGCATTTCAGTAAAGTAATGATAAAGAGATCGACGTAAAACTGTCGAAATCCCGTAAATTCATTATTCTAACGACTGTTTAGGACCGACATCGCCATCTGTAACGTTTACCTGCAACTAAATTAATGTTCTAAAAACGCGTGTTAGTCCCGAGACAAGCCAGCATAGACTGACTCTTTCATATCACCTTAAGGCCGTACTCAAATCGCGCTTTTAGCGTTTAAAGACTTCTTTTAGTGCTAAAAGCGAAGTATAAGAATGATGTTTAGGGAAAGTGAAGGATCCTTACGTGAGATTCGTAGGCTGCTGCATAGACAAGGACGCCATTGCCGAGACGGTTTCCGTCTCGTCGTGTTCCTTCTGACTCGCTTCAATCGCGCTCATAGCCACCGTGTGTGCGGCCAACTTAACGCAAGGCCAGTGTGACATCTGCGAAGCCAATCGGAAATAATGTCATTATTCTCTGTACCCTTACCTCTAATCTACTGTCAAAATAACTGAATCCCGGTAGTCGCGCTTTACGAATTTTATCAATTTTTATTTAAGTAAAACTTATGCCACGAGGGTCAAGTTCACATGTTAACAAATGGAAGCGTACCGAAACCTGAACCGTTCCTTATTAATGCTTAACTACTATTATCTCCATTCACCATAATGTGTTATTCTCTCAGTTAATTATTGACATCTAAAATGAAACAAAGATAATAAAATTGAGAGCAACCTCGTCCAAAGCACTGATTAATGTCTAATAATTTTTTGTAACAAAGGTGTTACGTATCCAACGGGCGCAGCTATCACGCCCTCATATTTATTCTTTTAATCAAGCCTGGTGGGCTTTACTAAATCTCGATTTACGAACGATTGGGGAGCAATAAATTCGTAAAGGGGAGAGGTGCCTAAATTAAAATACATCAGGGTTTACCTGAATGGCGATGGTTTTCTGGAGGGTGTCTATGGCGTTTTGGCAGGGCGACCTGGTGAGCTCCTCCTCCCTGAGGGGAGTGGGTTCATCCCCGAGGAGGGCCCTGACGCATTCCTGAGCGGAGTCGCAAATCGCAGCCAAATCGTAGCCGCCCTCCAGAGCCAGGACGACTTTGCCATCGGCCAGGGCGAGCAGCTCCTGGGTCATCCTGCCGAAGCAAGCAGGACTGACTTTGTAGCCACCGAGGGGAGCAGGGTGTCCGATGGCCGCGTCGAACCCCGCGGAAACGATCACCACGTCAGGGTCGAACTCCTTAGCGATGGGCATGACGATTGTGCGGAAAGCCGCCAGGTATTCGGCATCACCCATGGGGGGATTCAGTCCTCCCGACCAGGCGACGTTCACGTTGTACCCTAAACCCTCACCAGCTCCACATTCGGTTGGTCCTCCGGTTCCCGGGAAGAAGTTGCCCTCGTCGTGCCTGTGGATCGACAGGTACAGGACACGCGGGTCGTCGTAGAACATTTGCTGGGTGCCATTTCCATGGTGAACGTCCTAAAAGAACATCATCTTACACTGTCGTGTTTCGTAATTTCGCATGGTCACAATCACGAAGTAGCATAAGGAGATACAACGCCATGTATTGGATAGTCCCCACTTTAGGATCCCTCCTAGGATTAGGATGGATTTTCAGATGTTTTCTGATCTAGTGTCGAGAGCGCTTTCTCGATGAAATTTTGCAATTACAGATTATCATCCGTTAGCGGGTCTGCTAGTCTTTATCGCATTAAGAGTATCATATTCTATACATCATCCGCAGATTATCGTTTCGCTTTGCGTATCTTAATTGCAAAATTAAATGCATTTTAGGTCATTTACATCGTTAGGAAATGTTTTCGTCACGTAGGTTTGGAGTTCCCTAATTTTCCGCGAGGAGCGCTCGCATCGTTGGATCATCATTCTCAAATCTGAGATCCTGGTCCCGATTCTGGGGTCAGTTTCTGTGGAACCGACCATTGGCGTTGTTTCCTTATACTACTTCAGGGTTACAATTAAAGGGGGTTAACGAGCAGTACCCAGTCGAGGATCAGTATCTTCCTGGTGTCGAGTTTCTGCTGAAGAAGCTTGGCGGCGATGGCCACGGAATTGAAGAAGCAGAAACCCATCGCTTGGTTGGTCTCGGCGTGGTGGCCAGGTGGTCTGACCACGGCGAAACCGTTCCTGATGTCGCCCATCGCGGCTTTGAAGGCGAGGTCCACCACGCAGCCCACTGCCATCCTGGCCGCTGGTGCCGTGTGCAATTCGTTCCAGGTCGTGTCGGAGTCCACCCCGACTCCACCGCAGGGCAGCCGGACGAAGCTCTTGATGGGCAGCTGCGACAACTTCGACATGTCCAGCTTCTGCCTATTCAAAGGATTTGTACCTGGAAAGGATACCTAGGGTCATTTCTTTACTCTCAACAAAGGAGGATCGGAATTCAGTTCAACCTTTTGATACGGAGCCCTTTCGACACATGGGCGAAATTTATCAAAACGTCCAGGCAATATTGGACCAAATGTTGGACGCCTTTAGGCGTTTTTAGTAGCCAATGGGTTAAGGGGATGTAAAAGCGTCATTTGTCAAACTGCTCCGAACTGGGTGTACCGAGTCGTGTCAAACTTTACAACATAAATGTGGTGACTATTATAATAAATTTTAAAAATGTAAACGAATTTAAAATGAAAAATTCAAATTTCTTGGGCGTCAGGACCTTCCTTACAGCCTCCATATTCACGTTGTAAAGTCTAAAACGACTCGATACTCCCGGTTCAGAGAAAAGTTCCATAAACGGGAACCTTTTTGACGCCACCTTTACATCGCCTTAAGGATGCGCTGTTAAAAATATTCGTTCGAAGTATAGTACATCTATCGTCAAGTTGTAAAATTTCGAAATATCGGAACACTTTTAACAGGACAATCGAGTGAAGGATGTACAATGACATGAATGCCTCCCCTGCAGATACGGCAACGCCGGTGCAGGATGGGAGGGCATTGATGTCTCCCAGTGTACAAGAGAGGACTTAGGTAGGTACCAAAAAGTAATGCGTGCGCTTCAGAGTGGCATGTCTGGATCTCCTCGAGAGTTGCCTTCCTGGACCTAACTCGGTCGCAGCGTTGCAGAAGCCCAGTTTCCGAAAGCCTTGCCCAGACACTCTGCAGCCTGCCGCCATGTTCAGGGTGTCCCCTGACGGTTTCGCCGCAAACGCAGGCGTGCTTCAGCATCAGAGGATCGTAGGCCAGGCCGGTTGTCGGTCGATGCGGCGACCCCCTCGCGAAAACGTCCCCACCGGCGCCCTGAGGACCTTTGAACAAATTCGACCCTAAAGCTTACATCATCTTAACAACGAAATCAATAACTAATTGGTACGTTCGTACCAAAGATATAGATACTTTACGCGTTCCCATGGATCGAGTTAGCCCTAACGCCCCTTTCTGCGCATCCTAGGTTGGTCATATTACAATTTGAATTTATATAATTACGTCTGTCCCAATCAAAGGTACATAGATCACATTAGAGTAGATCTGTAGATGTCTAATTTTCTGTGTGAACTTTTGTGCCAATGAAACATGAAAAATTCTAAATTCATTGCTGCAGAGTCGCGCGCCAAAAACAGGCGCGGATCCATCGAGTCATCCGGTGTTTTTTACGAGAACCATTGCCGTACCTAAGTGCACAAGGGGGCTGGACAGCGCCCTGGAGAGGGGCCTCGCCGAATGGGAACTCCTCCCGGATGCGTAGGTCGAGGAATCGTTTATCTGGAGGGTGTGCCTCATCATGAGGTCCCTCTGCTGTTGCAGGAACTGCTCCCGGTCCCTCTGTTGCTTGGAGATCTCGCTCTCCTCCGGCAGGTCCTTCTTCCCGGTCAAGTCGATGACCTCGGACTCCTCGCTCTCCGGGGCCTCCTCCAGTTGGTTGGCCTGGTTCCCCCGGGAGCCCACCCTGGTCAGCACGGTCTGTCGGATCTGCTGCTTAAGGTAGTTGTGCGCCTGCTGCTGGTCGTGCAGCTGCTTCTCGGCCAGGTACTCTTCGTAGTGCGTCGGGGGCGCCATCATCCCACCCTGGAGCATCGGGTGACCCAGAGGAAGAGGCGCCGATTGCGTTCTACCTACGGAGGGACTTACGTCGATCAGGGTGTCTAATCTAAGGGTGGAAGCGAGTGCCTCCTCTGATCCTGACGCTTCCCAAGTTTGTCTTTGACCAACCTCACGATAATTGGACCCTTCGGATACTGAGCTAATTGAGAGATCTCTCCAGGGAAACGACCCGGACGAAGAGGCACGAGTCCGTAGCTGATGTTAACCAGGAAAGAGAGAACATACTACCTAAAGGCCGGTGACCAGCCTTATGCAGTCTTGCGTGAGCTACTTGTGTGTCCGTGATCGGCGCACCGTGGTACAGGGGATGCTGCCGGTTGGGCTGCTGCTCCAGGTTCTGCATCTGCTTGTGGATGTAGGTCGGCTCGCCCTCGATCACAGTCAGGGATGGATAGAACGGCAATGTTCCTGGCAGCATTTGCCCCGTCAACGGCATGCCAAGGCGAGCCGTGAACGCCGCTCGCACCTCCGCCTCCGAAACTGGCGCGAGCTTGGTTCCGCTCTGACAAGGCAACCAGAAATTCAAGATACGTGTCGGAAGCCCTTTAAACCGATACTAATGATTCAAATTAACGGGTTTACACGGGTAAAAGGGAACGACACATCCTGGACGGCTTGAAATTTATTAGGATTTAAGGCAATGCGAAAGTGGCCTCTGAAGCTTTAGTTATTTGTAGAACTTTTTTTTTCTTGTAGACCGGGTGCATAGAATCGTTTGAAACTTTACCACGCGAGTGTGGACGTCCCAGGGAAAGTCCTGACACCCGGGGGATTTCATTTATTTTCAATTTTTTTGTAAACAATTTTTAAGAATTTGCATACAAAATGAGATTTCACGAGTGTCGGGACATTTCTAAGGACCCCCACGTTCACGGGGTAAGATTTCAAACGATTCGGTACGCCCAGTTTGGAGAAATGTTTCATATGCCACTTTCATGTCGCCTTAAGGGAATTAGGAAATGCAGCGAACTTACCGCCGAGCTGGATGGCACGTGGGGTCTACCCAAAGAAATGTTGGGCATGGACGGTGAACTGAACAGAGATAGATCGGATAAACTGCCCTGCTGACTGCTGCTCGTCAATGGGCCTCCATAGGGTGCGTTTTCTCCCTCCTTGAACCCAAAGAAAAGCAATACATAGAGGGGATCAATCGGGTTTAAATGAGCGCGAGAGGCAAGAAATGTGAAATACCAGGTCATTCCAAAGGTTCTATCGTTTCTTGGGGACCATTTTTTTGCTGATTAGTGATTAACGATTAATGACCGACTTTACTTTACTGACTACTGGGCCGGTTACATCAACCGTGATTAGTCTACTGGTAGTAAACCGTGATTACGAATCGAGAAAGTTTCCACCAACCCTGATTAGAGCTCGCAAAGGCTTAAGTAACCGTTGTTAACTAATCAGCGAAAATCCATCGATTGACGATAACCAGGATTAAAATAGTGCCATAGCGTTTGCAAACGTTAATCGCTTTTTACCAATTAGGAAAGAACAGGCAATCTAATTGTACGATATTCACCTGTTATCTGGTATCGGGTAATCTTTATTAAATATTTCTCGGTGCAACAGAGATCGAGTTAACCTACGATTAAGTCTTAATCATGGATTAAGTGGTTTGAATCAGTGATATTAACTGAGCTCGCTGTTGCGACTGGCCATTGGTGATGCTTGTGACGTTACTCCAAAATTCATCTACAAAAACGACAGACCGTTTGGAATGACCTAAAATATTATCACAAAATAACAGAACCCGACAATTTGACGGGTTTCAAATGCTTAGAGATATAAAGGAAACAATTACTACTTATTTAGAAATATACACTGATTTAGATTGACAAAACTCGGAGATTAATGTACCTGCCAAAAAGATGAATTTCAGTGAAAATCGACGGCGAAGATGATAAAAAAAAGGGTTATAAAAATAGTAGCACAACCCAGTGGCTAAAAAAATTAGCGAATTACCATCTCTAATCGATTAACATTTACTTTTCTAATAAATACGGTATTTGACAGGCATTAGAATAAATCCTAAATAATGCATTTATGAGCGTTAAAACGCGTTTTAATAAATATATATTTATTTAGCTTGGCAAAAATCAAAGATCAATGTACCTGCCCCAAAAAAATGAATTTCAGTGAAAATCGGTGCACAGGATGCGGCGATAATTATTTAAAAAAAAAAAAGGGTTATAAAAATAGTAGCAAAACCCAGTGGCTTAAAAAATGAGCGGATCACCATCCCTAATCGATTAACATTTACTCTTCTAATAAATAGGCTAATATTTTTAATAAAAGCCATTATAATAAGTTCTGAAAATGCTTCCTGGAGCGTCTAAACGCGTTTTAAGTAGTTTTGTAAGATTTCGAGAAGAATCGTTGCAGCCTGTACGATCTATGCTGGTAAATTCAGGGTTAATGAAGTAAATCTATGATCTATTAGTTGGAAAATCGATGATCCTACCTCTTGGATCGGCGTGTTGCTGCCAGCAGTGGGACTCGCCTGGGAGTTGTTCGTAGCCGGTGGAGAATTAGGCCCGGATTCCGGATTGCTGCCAGAATCTAGAATAACAAGATCAGGGCCTGCAAGTGTCTGGAAAAAGTCTCGAGGTAGAAGGTCCGAACTGTCGAGTCGGATAGTCGATAGTCCGAGATGATCGTTTCTCTCCCTCTTGGCGAGGATTTCGAGTCCGAAAAGCCTCGAGATACGATATCTGGCCCGGCGAGGGCGATAGCCCTAGGCGTGGGTTAATCTTTCTTCGGACTCATGCGGTTAACTCGGACACTAGCAAAAATCAACTCAGCATCCAATTAATGTAACACGGGGTGCAAGACGATGTACTCTAGGTCTAGCGAGAGCCAATCGTGGGTTCTTCGTCGGTATCCCGATCCTCGGACGATTCGGATATCGGGTAGCTTCCTCGTTAAGGTGAAGTGAAACCCCCTTCCAATAAGTCGATTTTAATTTCTTTCAAACAACACTTTCTTTTAAGGGTACTGGACCAAACTGTCCGAAACTTTGACACATGACTCGTGATATCATCTAAGAATTGCCCTGACGCAATCGAAATTTGGATTTTTCGAAAGAAATTTGATAACTTACCCCAGACCAGAATCCAAAATGGCGTCGACCTCTCATATTTCGATCGATATACAATTATTGAAGGCTCCGATATGAGAAACGAAAGGGTCAGGACAATTTTACAATAATTTAGAACACTCTGGTAATCGATAAACTCGCATTTGAACGGGGTAAAGGCAAAGAAAAGTGTTTTGTGCGCTTCTATGCTAAAACGATGGGAATACGAGGCCTCGGAGGGAAAATTTAATTCACTTGGAAATCACAGATGGCGCATGGGGTCCCTCTGCAGTCAATTAGGGCCCCAGAAAGCATGTATCCAGAGGATTCTTGGAGTTTTACTTCGATTTCTTTATAATTAGTGTGCGGAAACGACAGGTGGAGTATGCCGTGTAGTACAATACCCAATATAATTCGACATGGCTGTCGATTTAAAAACGAACGTCGGGAACGTAGGTATTTAGAAAAATCTTCTTTATCGACGTCGGTCAAGTTCCTCGACGTGTTTCACTTCACCTTAAGAGTTCCCGAGGGGCTATTCACTTGGAAATCGGGGAATGGGATATTTCCTTCTTTGAGAACCGATTGCCTACGATTTCATGCCCAGATAGAGAAATTGATGAAAAGTTTGCATCTAATTTGCCTCCTAAGAGATCATGAAATGAGTCATTAGGGTGTTGCTTACGAGTCCTCATTTGGAACTCACACCCGCGGTACACAATGACGAACCAAAAGTACTTAAATATGAAAGAAAGTTAAGTACACGCAATGTCTTAATGTTTCCCCGCGTGTGTACGGCTAAATTAATCTCAGGCATTGCTGATAAGCAATTGCAGCCTCTGTACCTCACATTTGAGCGATGGCGTGACAAATTTACCGGAATGATTTCCTCAAATTTATTCTGCAATATGCGCACACACATTGCAGACGTTTCAGGCAGCGAATGGTCTGCAAATTGTTTGTACATCGATTTCCCTCGTCATATGATGATCATGAATTTCTATCTGGGATATGATAAACAATAAGATTCGGTAACAATTTACGTTCGGCCTTTTCCACATAATTTTCAAGCGTTATAATTAATGATTTCCTGAGTGAATACCCTCTCGGTTGCTATCCTTAAGAGGATGCTGAACCTCCCTTCTGTTACACCCATAATGTCGGAAAATAATTACTCTCTGCGGGAAATCATAAGTACTTGAGGGAATCTTAATGCTTCTTGCTAAAGGAGTTCCATGGCTCCGGTGAAAAAAAAAAATTGATTTTGTAAAATTCGTCAACCTTCCGACTCAAATTGCAAATGACATGCTAGTGTCAAGTGGAAATGATCTTGCCGAAAAGAATGTTACGTACGAAATTGGCCTGGAACAATGAGAATATTAATGGAGATTTATATCCCGTTTTGTACAGAACGTTGTATTGAACGCAGATAACCTAGTACTTTATACAAAAGATCATTAGTGGAGAACGAATATTGTTTGAAGTTGATGCAAGAACGAGTTCGCCGATAACTGTCAGAGATCTGAGAAAAAAAAATTACCTCAACCATAGGAATAATTCTTTAAAATTCTAATTTGTTATCGGAATATTTCACCTCTTCTAAGTGGATCAACTTTTCGTCCCGAAACGTTTACGCACAGGAGAATTAATGATAACGCGAGAAACAAACCTAGCGAAGGCTTAAAAAAGTTGAGTACTGTAATTCACCTCAATTTCATTTGATCTTATTTCGTATCGACGAAAGAATTTCATATTTTTGAAAAAGTACCGTCGACACGATAGACGGTCTCTTCGAAGTTATAAAAAAAAAAGAAAAGAGAAAAGAAAGTCACCTTCCCTCCACAAAATGATACATACTCTTCCAGAACAACAGATAACTTACTGAATAATCGAAGTATTATGGAAATCATATAAAACTGCAAAATAATTATCCAAACCATATCGAAACGGGAAAACCAATTAAAATCTGCAAACCCCGTTTTACCCGCGGCCCTCAGGCGCGCAATACAAATACAATATCCTGTCATAAACAATAGAGAGGAAAAAAAAATGAAACGTAATTGTACCGTATTTAACGAGAGCTTGTAATTCCAAATCTTTTTTTCACGGGACGCCATGACGATCATCCAGCAGCCTCTTATCATCTTATCACCCAAATAGTGTCCGAATGGATTCGACCCCTCCCGCTCGCCTTCAGCATCCTCTTAAAACCGACATGGCTTATCGCAATCAGGGCCTATTAATTGATACAATTTAATTCCCGCCCCCGTAATCCTTGCAGAAGTGCTCGCCAAACCCTGATTCCTCCCCCTGTCCATAATTACTGCCCCATAATCTAACACCTATGACCTTCCGTAATCGAATTCTACCTAAACCTCGATCAGCTGATCACAGGCGGCAAAGGAGAGGCCTCTTCTTCGGAGCGGCGCTACCGGTCGGGCTTAATCGTCGTTTCTCGTTTTACATATCATAGTTTAAGTAACGTACTTGCTAGGAGTGACCTCCGCTTGAGGTGCGACAGGAGTCGATCCTTCCGACGAGCCATTAGGGGTGAATTTCGGGACGCGGCCATGTTCCTCTCCATGACGCGCTGCTTGAGTCGCACCTTCAGCAGATTCGGCTCCGAGGCTGGCCAGATTTTCACCCGGGGTTAGTCATCTCGTACGAGGTATCGGTAACGGTGACTAGGACGAGACTAAGGAGACTAATCGCGACTTTTCGAGAAGAGAAGAAACCAACGGGGAAAAAAAAAAAAGAATAGAAAAGTAGAAGAGCACCCGGCCGCCGGGCCGAGGAACTTCGTTCTCGCTCCTTGCGCGGTCTAAGGACTCCTTTCGAAATTCACTGGATTCCTTTTTTTCTTTCTCTTTTTTCTTTTTCCGGCATTTCTTCCCTCGGGCGACCTCGGCGCGAGATGTGCGGGATTTAATTCGAAATTAGGCCAGGACAAGCACACGCAACAGGTCGAGCAAACCGAACGACTCGAGAGGCGAGGAATCGTGAGATTCTGGACGAGCCTGCACTACGTCGTTCGCGTATACGCACGGAATTGTCAGGATGATTAACAAGTGGCTTCATGTCCTTCTACGTTTTCCCTCTTTCCTGTTTACTCGGTCCCTGGACGACGGTTTCGTCGATCCTACCGCGAGTCTCGACGGTGGACGCGCGTAATGGCAAATCGTTTCCACAAGTGGGCGCGAACTAGTGAGAACGGATTCAATTGAAGTATGGACACGGTAGAACTAGATTGAACTGCACAGATCATACGTCGCTCGATTTATCGCCCCGTATGAAGATACTTTTAGGACTTAATTGTCGAGTACTGGATTTGGGAGGCACCCGAGAAACATTTAGGTGCGGCACTCGCACCTTTTAGTTTAAATCCCTCCATCTTAACATTCTGTACTCTTTATGTACTGATTACGTGTTACATTCGCAAATTTTCCGTCGGCTCGGTTTTCTTGAAGAAAAAAAAAAAGGAAATGGAATGTTTGCTCGTGAAAAGAAGCGATAATCGTCACTAGGGTTACGTTCAATTGCGTTCGGGACATGTTCCTATTATTTTTTTGGTTTTCTTTTTTCCGATGATATCCCATGTGGAAAACTAACTAGGAGATTCTGGATTGAATCCAGGACCTAGGACTTCCACGTGAAGAATTTCCAATTCTAGGGTAAACCCTAGCTAGGGCTCCCACGTCAAGAGTTTCTAGCCCTAGCCAAGGCCCTACATAGGGCTTTGCGACAGGTTTCTTTTTTTTTTTTTTTTTATACAAGACTCCATAAAGGAGAATATTTCTCAGTATACGCCAAGCTAATATACACTTAGCATTGAATTTGGCAAAAAAGAGCATTTTATCCAGGCTTTCCCCTAGCGTCCAGCTAAGGCCTACTTGAAATTGATTTGTGCATCCCCGTAGTTTTGTCCAAGCCCTCCTTTATCGAGTTAGTCCAGGATGTCCTGACGAGTCCTTACAAGGAAAACTGCGATACTCCCTCTGTAAGCCCTATATCGGTACCCTAGATAAGTGATAGCGAGTCCCCTTGTCGATTTTCTCCACGGGATGTCGGTAATACGAGAAGTCGACGGCTCCGGAGTGGAGAAAACGTGGAAGGACAATCCGTGAGTAGGGGCGATGCAAATCCATGCTTTAGTAGGCATTCTACTAACACACAGACTACTCGGCGATGCTCGTCGACGGTGAGTTTACCTGTTTTCCTCAGTGGGAAATCGTCGCTGAATTTTTCCTGGAGCATCTGGGGCATCCTGTAAGGATGCGAGGCGTTGGTGGTGTTCGTCGTCTCCGACTGTGGCGGTAGCCTGGAAAAAAATGCGTAAAAAAAATGCAAAAATTAATTCAACTTGCAAAGGAGATTTTTTTACAAAACCCGGAAGGAAACTGCGACTTCCCGCGCCTAAATGGATTGCAAAGAGAGTGGCCAATTATTCAATTTAAATGTGGATCTTGCGAATCTTCCGAGAGATACCGCGCGCACCTCGGCGACCGGAATACGGGAAAAAAAAGGAAGAATGGTCGGGAAAACCTCAATTGTGATAATTGTAACTATTTTGTAAGGCAATATATGGGATATTGCCTTGCCAGGAGGTTGTGGCAACCTGAGTAACATAGTAAAATAACAAAGTAATGATTATTTCTCCGTTTGGTCGAGGTAACTATAAGGTACTACTTGTTGTAACATTACGGTTGCCGTAACTTCATTTCATGGCTAATATTACCATTCCAAATGGTAATCACTATTGCAGCTTTTTAGCGCAACTTCATGGATACAGTAACTATTGGCAAGGTTGGAATTACCATTCGATGTGAACGATCTACACATTAGTGTAGTTCATATTACAGTGTCTTAGCCATGCTGTCATAGTAATTGTAACCAAATTATTATTATTATTTTTTTCTCTGAAGGCACTTGTAACACGTTTCAAGCCTACGTGCACGTAGGACACGTAGAACCTTCACAGGTGCCCAAGATCCTACTTTTTCCCCTAGACGTGCAATAAACTATTTCTCAAGCTGGACAGGGGAAATTGCGCGACTTTAAGGCTAAAATGCATTTAATTTTGCAATTAAGCCATGCAAAGCGAAACGGTAATCCGCGAATGTGTTTTTAATTTTAATAAAGGATTAGCAGGCGATAATCTTTAATTGGGAAAATTTCACAGAGGCGCTCACGGCACTAGATCGGAAAGTAGATCTTAGAATCCTAAAGTGGAGGTGCGTGGTGGTGCATCGCGCGACTTTAAGGCTAAAATGCATTTAATTTTGCAATTAAGCCACGCAAAGCGAAACGATAATCCGCGAATGTGTTTTTAATTTTAATAAAGGACTAGCAGGCGATAATCTTCAATTGGGAAAATTTCACAGAGGAGGCGCTCACGGCACTAGATAGGAAAATGATCTGTAGATTTTGGAATCCTAAAGTGGGGGTGATTTCAATGCATGGCATTGTATCTCCTTATACTACTTCGTGGACGGGATTCTGTACACCATATTCGATAGTTACCGATATCGTTAATCGATAGCTATCGAAGTGCCGCAGCGAATCCTGGTATCGGGGGTGGCTTTTGGTATACGGGTAATCCCGGTACGAGTACGCAGAAAAATTGGCAACCTGCCCGGCGTGACCATTTCGGAAATAGATGACTGCCGGACGCATCGGTTAATGCTTTTTGCGAGTCTGACACAGAAATCGGTGGGAAAGGGGAAGGGCTTTCGAAACGTGCAGCTGACACCAGCCACGGGGCCGAATTCCCTGTTAACCCTTTGCCTTATGATTTAATTACACAGAAACGTGCGTGGGCGAACTATTTCATTTTAATGCTTTTTTTTTAACTATGTGCCCGGGGTTATCGCAAAATAAAACTAAAATATTTCAACTTTAACACTATTTCTACCAAAGGTGTCAAAAGACACCTTTTAAAATTTTAACTTGAAATTATTTTCAAAGTTTAATAATTTTTTCTCAATTAATGTTTTGAGTTTTCGTACAATAATTGTTAAATTTATTTAACGGTATCATTTTCCTCCAGCTCATCAAAACCTTTTGGTCGAAATAGGTATACATAAAATCGTGGGAGAAATAGTGTCAATGAATATACTTATATAAAAATATGAACTCTATGGCATTTGTGATAAAACGGATTTATTAAATAACCCGTCAATGTCGAATTCGACATAGAAAATGTATGAGGGCGAGACTCGTCATTTCCATTTAAGGGGTTAATGGTTTCCAGTAATATGACAACGAAGACTTAACAGTCGATTCCCAAACACCGAAAGGGCTCAATGAGAATCCATCTTTCGGGGCTAACAAATCTTCGATCCATCGATTTATGCCAACCGAGGAGTCGAATACAAAAGGGGGCCATGTACTTCGACTTGACGTCGAAAAAAATGAGAAACTCGCGAAAAGGCCGCACCAAATTAGAGCTAACATTTGATCAAACAGAATATTTAACGTAGAAACACAAGCTTAAAGTGAACCAAGGCCAAACAACGAGACGACGACGAGTCGACTTCTCACTTTGTGAATTTTTATCCTTTATAATTAATTTTTATCGGGATTTTTAAGGGAAACTTTTTATGTCACGTGGTTACGCATCACGAAGGCGTTTAGAAACATTTTGAAAACCATTTAATATTTTATGAGATTAAAGAAAAAAACAATTATGAATGAAAATGAAATTTCATGAGTGTCTAGACCTTCCTCAACACCTCATTATCCACGTAGTAAAATTGCAGTCGGTACATCCTATTTAAAAAAAAAAAAAAAAAAAAGTTTCATAAATGAAACTTCTCAGATGCCACTTTCGTGTCACTTTAAGGACAAGGATTGAATCAACTCTATTTCGGAGTAAGGTCCCTTAATACGTCTCTTCCGCATAATTGTCGGAATCGCTTCGAGTGAAATTTTCCCTTTGATAAGGATTCTCGAAGGAAGTCTTGTATGGGGTCATCCAACGGGAGTCATTACGATAAAGTAAAGGAAAATCACCGAAATGACAGCCATGGAGGCGCACGTGGACCCTCTAATGTCTCCCGAAGACGTACACCTTGTTTCTCCCGTGGACGATGAAGTTATCGAGCAGAACCACGAGGAAATATATCCCGGCTAACCTCGCCGATGCTAAATGGATAACTGGGCCAGGTTGTGCTATTATCGTTACCGGTACGGTTACGTAGTTGACGACCACAAGCGGTTCCATTAAACCCAAGCACGATTCGCGGATTTCGGACGTCCACCTCCCTCGGGACTTATCCCGATCGATCTCTATACAAATCCTCCCGAGTGACCCTGACTACCCAAGAGTCCTTGTCAATGCAAATTAAACAAACTTTAAGATTAAGTACTTCTTTATTGCGGTCCTTTTTTCGCCGAGTATGACTTTCATCCGAGGAGTCTATCAATAAAAGAAAATGATGACTCGGATTTGTAACTATCAATCTAGTTTAGTTTTGTCTATCTTCGGATGTCATTATCGGCTCCCGATAAGATCGATATGGGACCACCTGGGAATCACCCCCTTTGAAAGAAAAATAAAATAATGGTTCTACTAGAACGATTGTCAGGAAATAATCCGCGAACTTGCTGTTAAAAATAAAAAAAATAAAAGAATGTACACAGGGAGTCTCCTTTTTCTCGGTTTAAATTCGGATGTCATTATCGGCTCCCGATAAGTTCGATATGGGACGACCTGGGAATCATCCCCTTTGAAACAAAAATAAAATAATGGTTCTACTAGAACGATTGTCAGGAAATAATCCGCGAACTTGCTATTAAAAATTAAATAAAAAAAAAATAAAAAAAACGTACACAGGGAGTTTCCTTTTTCTCGGTTTAAATAAAAATTGCGTGGAAATTCATCATTCGGGAGGTATTCAGTCCGGTTATCTAATCGGCCAACGGAATACGAGGAACGGTGCACGCCGAGAATAAACGGGGCGATTATGCTCGCACGCATAAAGGCATTCGGGCAATAAATTGCAATAATGATCCGAATCAAAGGGGGCGAGTCATCGGGATATTTATCGACGTGAGACACGAATGCGAGCGAGGCAGTCACCTTGAAGACGAGCGGCCCGTCGTTCAACGCACGTCGATCGAATATCGATTTATCGACCGACCGACTTATTCCGAATAAATTAGAGACTACCGTCTAGGCGACCGACAATGACGTTCTCGTCGGACGGGCCGTTCTTTTTTTTTTTCTTTTTTATTTCTTTTTTCCCCCTCATTTTTCTTGCGTGCCGTTCCTCTATACGGATCGTACGACCCGCGACCGACAGAAGTCGCCAAACTCGTTTCGGCATAATTTCTCGCGAGATTTCCTGCAGCCATTTCGAGAACGAGACAAGGACTTCTGGACGTCCACGAATTGGAGCACTGGAAGCTGCTTGTTGTTCTTAGGAAGTCAAAAAAGAGGACCAAAGAATGATGAATTGGAGTGTAATGTCGATTTTCAGACGCGCGGATTGAAGGAAAGAACCCGATGGCGGCCATTTCTCGTTCCTACGAATACAATCGGGATTTTGTATTCTCAAACAATGGCGCAGGATTTCCTGAGATTACTTCCAGAACGAGGTTAATCCGGAACGTAGTATATATTTACGGTATCACAGAAGGTCGTAAAGAAAATTAAATGCCCATTGGAGAGATGGTTGAAGTAAAGAGACGCGATCGAAGCCCAGTCGAGGGCCATGAACTTGTACGAGACGCTACCGCTTGAGAGAGGCGGCCGCCAAGAAATCATTGATTTCCGGTCAAACGAGGCATAGCACGAAACGACGCTGAGGACAAAAATTGCTCGGAAGATCCCTGGGAGCAACTTTCGTGGGAAACACTTCGGCGTAGAACGGCCCGGCGAGGCAAACAAATCGTGCCCGTCCATGGCGGAGGAAAGCGGGGATAAGGATCGCCCAGACGGGGACGCTCTCGGAATGCAATTAATTGCCCCGGTATTCCCGCAATTATCACCGAGGTAGGACGATCCCTCGGAAGGTGCACCAGGGGTCGATAGTTTCTTGTGGGAAATCAGGTTGAAGGAACTCGGGCCTCGTCCTTGAAGACATTCGGCATTCCTCGATCGCGGCTCCTCCACGTGACGGGATAAGGTTAACGAACGTAACCTTGGTTAAGCCTGTTACCGGACACCCGGCGACCACTTCGCCGATGTCTTCCCCGACTCTGTCTATTTTCTCGAATTTCTCTCTCTCTCTTAACCAGCCTTAAAACCCAGGAAAAACCGACGCGTTCGTCCCGGAACGCGCGGCGTGTAGGAAGACACGTACGCCTCGCATAGGAAATTCCAGCCAGTCCCTGAAGAGACCGCCGAACGAATGACGATCAGTCTCGGAGTAGGTGCACTCTTCGGTGCCACGATTCCCCAGATCCCAAACGAGAGTTACTTGCCGAATTCACCAAGAAAAAAAAAAATACATTAGTATCGAAAAAGGCGCTTTACCAGCTTCCGTATCCCTGCGCTCCCGGAACTGCTCCATTAGCTGCGGCGGCGGCCTCGCGTTGCTTCTTGTTCACCAGAAAGCTCTGAAAAAATTAATACAAACCCATCATCAATAATTCTCCGATGACGATCTACTAGCTCCGATAGCACCAATGAACTACGCCGTTATCGCATTGCATTCAATTTTCAAACTACACCCTTCTCTACATTTTTTACGCGGTAAATTATACCACAATTTACGCGATAGTTTACATGCGCGATCATAATTAACGCGGTAAATAATAACGCAATTTACGCGATAGTTTTCAAGCGCGATCTTAATTAACCTGATAGTTTTTCATGCGCGATAATACTTTACGCGGTAGTTTTCATGCGCGATCTTAATTTACGCGGTAAATAATAACACAATTTACGCGATAGCTTTCAACGCTTAATCATAATTTACGCGGCCAGAAAGTATATTTTCCCCGAAGTTTTGAAAGTAACAAGTGTATGGCAGTAACTTACTCAGACTTTTAACTTTTGTACTCCAAAGCGTAATTACTCGCTTTCGTTAAGCAATTTGAAATAAACGCATGTTTCTAAAACATATATGTACTAGTTTTAATATTCTTTTGTACCGAGACTTTATTTACGCGTAAAACGAGTGCCACGTTAATTGAGGGACGGGTGTATCTGAATATACTGAATTGTACCGCATTAAAAGTCGCCTCGAGATTACGAGGTACATTAATCTCGCCCGTGGGGTTGTACAGAGCCGAAAATATGAAATATGAGACGAGGTATTACAAAATCCAGGAAGAGAAGGAAAAGTAAGAGGCAACCCGAGGCGACTTTCGGGGGCAGGCGGGAACCCCTTGGAGAGGTTCCTGCTGATCTCGGGGATTTTCAGCGTCGGGGTTCTATTTTTAACGATTAGGCGGCCCGACGGGTTATTTTCACGCCTGGTTATTATTCTTAGTTCACCTGAAGGCGTTGTTTGACCTCCGTAGAAGCGATGGCGCTGTGGTCATGTTTGTCCTTTTTCCTAAGCGCCTCCAGCCTCTCCTTCTCCCGTCTCTGTTCCTCCAGCTGTTTCTGCTGCTCCCACAACTGCGACGACAGATCGGACAAATCGTGTTGATTGTACATCGAATACATACAAACGTCTATTCATATACACAAGGTAACGAGATGCGAGATTTAAAGGGCCCACGTAGGAAATCTGCCAGGACCTAGCTAGGGTGCTACCCTATCACAATAGGGCTTGCCTTGAAATATTACACTTTTCTATATTGGGACATCCTGACTTGGCCCGATAAAGGAAGAATCCAACAGAATTACCTTGGTGAATAATTAAATTTTAATTAGGCCCTAGATAGATATATTAAGGGGATATGAAACCACTTTCATATAACAGATCAATCGTTGGAGAAAATATTCTCCAAATTGGGTGTACCAATTTATTTCAAATTCTACTACATGAACATGGCGACCCTAAGGTAGGTCCTGAAGTTCGGGAAATTTCATTTCTGCATTAAAACAAAAAAAAAAGAAGAAGAAATTCTGAAAATAGCTACCAACAAACTATCTTCAAATTGAAATTTCATGGCCTTCCAGCCTCTATATTTACCATGTAAGATTTGAAACAATTCGGTACACCCAATTCGGAGATAAGTTTCATAAACGAGACCTCTATGACGCCACTTTCATGTCGCCTTAACAAGAAAGGCTTAGATAAAATTGTCTCAGCTGCAAAATTAAATCCTGCATAGGTCTTAGCTTGGCCCTGACTAGGAATAGTTGCACGATCAAGATCTATCTAGGGACTACCTTGGCTAGGGTTGAAAATTCCTAATAGGGCTCAAATACTGCCTGACATTTTTAGTCACTTTAAAGTTATCTACCCCAGGTAGACGTTAACAAAAAAAAAAGACTTAGATAAAATTGTCTCAGCTACGAAATTAAATCCTACATAGGTCTTAGCTTGGCCCTGACCAGGAATAGTTGCACGGCCAAGATCTATCTAGGGACTACCTTGGCTAGGGTTGAAAATTCCTAATAGGGAAGCCTTAGCTAGGGCTAGAATACTGCCTAAGACGTTTAGTCACCTTAAAGCAAGGAAAGTTATCAGTAAAGAGTCCTTAAAACGAGTAACGAGGAGTCGGTTGTAAAATCCCGTGCACGCGTTACTGCCGATAAAACCGCGAGGGGGATAAATCGAGGGGAAAGTGCGACGAGCGGCGCGAAAGTACCGGCTTTAAACGTTGTTTGCACGTAAGATTAACGTCATCGACTGTACACCGAGTGGGAATATTCCATCGAACTTTCGAAAGCACCGATGTGAATGGGCCTCTCATTCTCTTTCCCTCTCCCTCTCTCGGTGACACTGGCGCGCTATTCTTAGACAGCAAATAAAAAGAGAGAGAGAAAAAAAGAGAAAGAGAGAGAAGAAGAAGAAGATTAAGGGGCGTCCACAAGAGCGGCGACAAAGTTAACCGGGAGTATTCCGTTACAGGCGTTGAAGGCTTCGGAAACTTTTTTTTTTCCTCTCTCTCTCCCTTCTTCTTCTCTCTTTCTACGTCGGCAATCGGCGAAGCCAAGGTCCCTCCCCGAGTGACCTACGACCTCGAAATCGGCCAAGGAGACTTCCCAGATTTATGTGGAATTTATAGGCGACTTCCAGGAAGTCGCCTATGAATACACGAAAAACACCGGGGAGAATAAATAAATGCACAAACAGAGAGGCCAGGATTAATAAACAAATAAATCTCGCCGGTGACGATAAGCTGTGTCGCGGCATCTTTACGTCACTAGGCGTCCCATTATCGCGAGCGATGATTCAATTTTCGCTTTCAACGCACTTCCTTGTACTCGGCTTGGCCGGCTTATCGCTCCGAGTGACGATCTTTCCTTTCCAAAACAATTCAACGACCGCTCGAGAAATATTCCCCGAGAAATAACGATCGGGAGACATCCAAATCGCATCTGATCCGAAGGCATGACTTCCGCGTTAGGGATTCCCCCTAACTAACCATAGTAAGCCCTAGCTAGGATTTAACTTGGCATCCAAAACACTTTTATCCAACCTTTTCCATTAAGGTGACATGAAACGGACATTCTGTATGTACAAAACGTAAAAATATTTATAAAACTTCTCTAAACTGGGGGCACCGAGTCATTTGAAACTTCAGCACGTGGTCATGAAGGTCCTAGGGAAGAATATGGTGCTCATGAAATTTCATTAGCACCACGGTCTTCCTTAAAACATCCACGATCACATCCTGAAGTTTCCAACGATTCGGTGCATCCAGTTTGGATAGAGTTTTACAAATATTTTCACGTTTCATATACATATACATTATGGTTATTATATATACTGTAATTTTGTTCCACTCTCCTATAATAGAACGCATTTGAGATATCCTACTTCCGCCCTGTCCAAAAAAGTGATACCATAACATAAGCCCTACATCGACCCATCGCCAGTCTAGGTGAACCTAGGGTGTTTTTTAATGTGAATCTCATCGCCCCCGTAGATTTTCTCCGTAGTTTTCCGCATCGCGAAAAACTTGCGGTTAAAATAATTTTGTTTCCCTCTCCCATAACAGAACTCCCTTGGGATATCCTATTTTCGCCCTATCCAAAAAAGTGACACCATAGCATAAACCCAACATAGACGCATCGCCAGCCTATCTGAATCTAAGGGTTTTTTATGTGAATCTCATCGCCCCCGCAGATTTTCTCCGTTGTTTTCCGCATCGCGAAAAACTTGCGGTTAAAATAATTTTGTTCCCTCTCCCATAACAGAACTCCCTTGGGATATCCTATTTTCGCCCTATCCAAAAAAGTGACACCAAAACATAAACCCAACATAGACGCATCGCCAGTCTAGGTGAATCTAAGGTGTTTTTTAATGTGAATCTCACCGCCCCCGCAGATTTTCTCCATAGTTTTCCGCATCGCAAGAAATTTCCGATCGACGTAAACTCGCTCAGATGCGGTTAGTAGTTGATAAAAAAACAAAAAAAATGAAAATAAAAGAGCGACTTCGGCTCACCTTGAGCTGATGCATCTGCTGTTCGTGCAGCTCGGCGAGCTGACGTTCCTGGGCCTGATACTGCTGTCGCAGGATCTGCTGTTGCAGCTGATGATGCTGCTGTAGCTGGAACCAAACCCAGATATCTCAAGGGCAACGTCCTAGATTATTTCGACAAAGTCGGACGAACACGCGGCCCAGCCCGACGGAGATGGAAAATGGTGTTCCCGACATAGAGCCACTGAACTGTGCGAACTTCCCCTCCACCGCAATGGCACACATTTACGCCCCGACATAGTCGCTCTTTTCCCGAGAAACGAAGCCGGCCTGTATTCCGTGACATGGTTTATTTCAAGACAAAATCTCGCTTCGATCCTACGTAAACTCGCCTGCCGCCAGAAATAGAAATCGCATGGCGAAAGCTCGACGGGGCTCGCTAAGACACGAGGCGACACGGTTCCCGCCAGACACCTTAATTCTTTCATTTCCCGACGAGGACGAGGTCGCGGTCGCTAAAAAGTGCCAACGTCTCGGACCCTGGAGCCCTCCCGACTTGGAACGGAAATGCGTGGGCGGATTCATCTGGACTACGGCAGACTCAATTGGGCGCGTCCGTACTCCGACGTGCCAACCTAATTAGGGCTATTTTTGCTCCTAGGTTCATTGACTATGGAAGTATGGACTGCTAGTTGGCAAGACAGGTTCCTAGGATGATCTCGAGGCATCGTTTAGCAAGAACTAATGATTCGGACTCGTACGGAAACGTCAATTTTATGGATTAAAGACGTTTTTTGGCCATTTCAGTACTGCAGATAAAAGACGCATTTTTGCTCCTAAGTTCATTGACAATGGAAGTATGGACTGCTAGCTGCCAAGAGAGGTTGCTAGGATCTCAAACCATCGTTTACCACGAACTAATGATTTAGACTCGTACCTGTACGTCACTTTTATAGCTAAAATACGTTTTTTATCCATTTATGTACTGCAGATAAAACACGTATTTTTGCTCCTAAGTTCATTGACAATAGAAGTAAGGATGCTGCCAACTTCATAGGGATTTCTACGACCTAGGCGTTATCATTTACCAATAAGTAATGATTTAGTACAGCCGGGAATTTCAAGCTCGTACTCGTGCTTTACTTTCCGCGTTTAAAGATTATAGATGAAAGACATCTTTTAGTCGTTTAAAGACTACAGATAAAAGATATCTTGTAGCCGTTTAAAGATTACAGATAAAATACATCTTTTAATACTATAAGTGAGGTACGAGTTCGGACTTTAACCTCTGACTGCAGACACGTGGCCACGCACTCCACCTGTTTTCTCTTCATACTTTTTATTAACCACAATCATTAATCATCGCCTATTAAATATTACCACACGAGCAGTGACGTAGACGTCAGTCCCTAAAAAACCTACGACATACAATAACCGTTGTTAAAGTTAGGATTATTTCATATAATGTATATGAAGTTAGGATAACTTATTCTTTCTTCCTGTATCTGTATAATCCGTTTCTCGCTCGAAAATGTATTTGGCTTGAAACTCTGCCGAGTGTCTTGGCCATATCCCTAGACAAAATAGCATCGCCCTTAAATCTCCCAACTTCAGATCAAGCTTAAAAGTCTTTCAAGGGAAAGCCTCCTTTGGTCGAGGACCAAAATCGGGAGTTTTGCTCGCAATGAGTCCTCGTGACCCGGGCAAAGAGTTCAAGGACCAATTTCGCGGTTTCTGAAGTCCTGACGCCATTCCAACGATGAACCTTTCGGACTTCACGAGGACTAGGATCTTCATCAGCAGCATTCAGGACGACTCCAGCTGGAAAGGACACCTAACCAAGGCGATCATCCTAGCGTTGGGCTTTGGGACGTACGTAGCCCTCCTCAGGAAGGGCGCCATCTTGTGTGGGGGTACCTGGTGTCTTCACAGGCTGAAGTCTTGTTTCTCGAAGAAGAGGAAAGAAGACCCGGTCGAAGAGGAGATAAGGTTGGTCCTGTCATCAACTTCGTCAAAAAGAGGCGGATTTAGTTGACACGTATCCCTTTTCAGTGATAAGCCAGTGGTCACATTTAACCAGGAGATCTGTCCGATATGCATTGGGGTTCCCAAAGTCGGCGTGAGAGCACCTTGCGGACACCTCTTGTGTGCAGACTGTCTGGCAAAATATTGTGACGTCAGGATGATGTCTTCTCCGCCGCCATGTCCACTTTGCAGAGCGCCGTTGGACTCGCTCGTCCTGACCTACGACATGGTGAGGGCATCTCCGCAGTATCCCATCACCGATTCCCCATCCAAAATGGGAACCAGAAGTTCCTAGCTCCATTTGAAGCTCCCTTCCACGTGGGAAACGACCAGGATATCTAAATTCCTATCTAGACCCTAGCTAGGGGTTCTTAGCCCTAGTCAAGGTAGGTCCTAGCTAGGACTTCATCCAAGACAATTTTTCCTGGCGAAGGTCAAGGCAAGACCTATCTAGGGTTTAATTTGACATCCATGATAAGTTTATTCTAGGCCCTCCTCGCCAACCCCTAGCTAGGGTCTAAAATAGAATCATGCAACATAATCTTGCAGGCAAACAGGATGTCCTAGAAGGGTTTACATAGAAAACTGTAGCTTCAATGCAGGCCCTGGACTGATAGGTTTGCCGATGTAAACCCTAGTTAGAATTTAATTTCCCATCCAAGGGAATTTTATCCAGGCTTTCCCGGCAAACCCTTAACTAGGGCTTGAAGTTTAACCACGCGTCAATGTACTATTGTCCGATTCTTTCCTCATCGGGGAAAGTTAGGATGTTTTAGAAGCATACGAAACTGTGAGATTTCTACGCAGACCCTAGATTGTTAGGTTTCCACCCTAGCTAGGATTTAGCCACCGCCCTTCCGGGTTTTCCAGTCGGGCTTCGAGGAAGACGCAACCCTGGAGGAGCATTTAGCAGACATCTCCCAGGAGATTTTGCTTGAAAAGGTCCTCTCGTGGACCCATTGAGGGCTCTAGACTTTCATCTGGGGCGAGTGGAACTTCCCCGTTCTGCAAATAGGCCTTCAAGTGACAAGTCTCAGAACGGAAGGAACCTTTTCAGGCCACCATAATCAGCCCGATGATGGTGGACGCGAATGTCGACGCAAACACTAGAGCCTGGGTAAGGGATTACAATCTTCGAAGAGGTCTCATCGCGCCGCCCAGGACGTCTCTAGTTTGGACCTTTCTAGCCCATCACGCCTGCGTTATCGCCTACGTTATCACGCTCGCCCTAATTCTAGGGCTGGTAGCGGTTAGGATTAAGGTTGGTTCCTCTCCTTCTCATGCTTCGCTGTATCCATCGCCCTATACTCTTCTACGTGGTTTGGTTACAGCTTCGTCCATTGAATTTATAGATACTACCATGGACAGGATGGATCGGCATCGGATCCGTCGTGGACATTTTGCTGGGCGTCGCGTTGATGATCTGCGTTTGGCTTAAGTATCAGGAGCAGTACACCATCTTCGAATAAATTTCCAGCATCCCAGATAAGCAGTTAATGGGAGCAGAATGGAGTTCCAGAGAAAATTAACGCCGGTGAACGGCCTCTTTATGCCATGTCCTATTTGTCATATCATTGAACTTCGCCGTTTGCACCGTGCGAAAGGAGGAAAAAAGAAATCACCTTCTGCAAGGAAATTAATCCTTGCGACTTTATTTAAGGCTGTCAGAAAAATTAGTCAGAGAGATGAGTACACGAGGTTAATACAAATTTCAGATATATTCGATGTCCTCACATTTAGCTTCAATAAGCTTTCGTTATCCATTGTCAATTGATTTTCGGCGTTTACACGGTTTCGAATGAAAAGTCGATATACTTCGAATAGTCAATGACTTTGTACCCGAAATCGTCGTTTGACTTGCAGCCAAGACGACTCTCACGAAAATTAGTTTCGCTAGAGCCAAGAAATTTATTGGAGCAAAAAAGCGACAGGAAAGATTGCGTCTAATTAATTTCCCCTGGGAGATTCATATCTCGATCAGTGAATTCTCATTGCGATGTCATAAGGAGACGTCTTGTCTTGAATCCTCCTATTTCAAAGAGTTCCTTCAAACGAACTATTAATTCGAACGATCAAAGAATTTAAAAACCCGCAGTTTCCGATGGAAAAATCGGCGCCTTTGTTAAAATCATCATTTCTATCAATCCTGTCAGCAGCGATCAATCCTAACATTTTGAAAAATCGCCCGGCGCACTGCTTTTCTATTAACCCATCTTAATTTATTTTTAAATTATAATCACCTTCAGTGTCACCATCGGTTAGTTTTTAGTCGCCTCCAATTTCAAATGGTTCCTTCAAACATGGCGCTAAAATCATTTCTATAAATTTAAAAATTTTGAAAACTCTCTCGTCGCACTTTTTCTTCCATCGACCCGCCCCGATCGATTTTCAAATTCAGCTCACACGATATGAGCCTCGTACATTTTCCTCCTGACCCGTCACGATCGATTTTCAAATTCTGCTCACACGATACGAGCCTTGGGTGTCACCATCGGTCAGTCTCCCCAGTCGCTTCAATTTCCCGGTTTAAATGCCACCGTAGTTTCACACCTCTCCCAGTGGCCGGTCGCACGTGTCGCCGCGAGTCATACGGCGCCTACGATATATCGCCGATCGCCGATAATGACCACGCAAGAGCAGACGCGCTGCACCCAAGTGCACATACATTGCGCCTCGGTGCACCGGTTGCGCAACGATTAATTGCGCGCCGATGTCGCAGATCACGTAGTCACGCGCAACATTGCTTCTCACTTTTTTTCTCTCTCGTGCGGAAGAAAAAGACGAAAAAAGAAAGAGGGAAAAAAAACAGAAGCAAAAACGAAAAGGTAGAAAAGAAAAAAAAGAACGCCGTAACGAGCAGTCCCGAGGATCGATCCTTGGAGAAACCTCTCTCGAATCCTGCGAGTATCGACCGGCCTGAATTTAGCCGCAGGCCTAAGCGTCACCCATGGCCTTGAACTTGAACCCCGTCCAATCGAATCGATCTCTTTTCGACTGTGTTTCGTCCTCGAGTCTCCCGGGATTTATTACGCTCGCTAGGTGGACGCGCAAAAGGAAACAAGATAAGAAACGAAATGAGACTCGAGTGACTGGATATATTCGGGCTCCTGCGGAACAACCAAGCCGGAGGCCGTATGCCGCGGTACGGTGTGATACAAGGGGCTGTTCATGTGGAAATCAGTGAAAATGATTTTCTTTCTTAAAAACCGATTGCCTTTGATTTCAAATTACAAACAATGCGATTTGGTTACAAGTGTCGGTCAGCCTTACAATTGTGACAATATTTCGGTGATGTCGAACAAATCCCAGTGGTATTTGTTTGCGATTTCCACGCAATCTCTCGCATGAAAATCCGTGATTTCTTAAGTGAACAACCCCTCGACAAAATCCCCCTCAGATCGCTTAGCGAATTTGAATTTCGCGCCGCGAGTCCGAGAAAGGTTAGGTGGAAAGAAAAAAAATAAATAAATAAAAGGAGGGCTCTACATTACCTCGAGTATCTTCTGCTGGAGGGCGTGACCATGAAGGGTGGTGGGATCGCCGGTGGCGGCGTGATAGGCACCGGAAGTGAGGGTGGCGGTGGCGCCACCTGTGGCCAGGTCGCGCGGCCGCGACATCGGCGAGCCTGGGGTGTCCCTGGCCATGTCTACGCAGACGAGACACGCATCCGATAATTCGGAGGGGACGTAAGGGCGAAAAGCGCTGCCCCGGTCGACGGAGACCTTCATGGCACGGCTCTGGGTCGGTAACGTCGCCCGAGCGCCCGCTCGCTGCCTTACCGGCCGCGACGGCGATTCGGCTCATTCAGAGGACCGGATGAAAAGCGTCGGTCGAGGCCGATATTTACACTAGTATCGTTAAACGCGAAATTAGGAATTCCCGAAATTAAATATCTATATCCTCTTATAGTGCCGCGAAGCTTCAAGTTCCACGTGCGAAGTAGCACATGGGGATAACGAAATAAAACCGCGATGGGTTAATCCGCTGTTTTTGAATTCTATCGTACCGAGTAAAGTAGGGGAATTACCAAGGTTGGAGGGAATTCGGAGGTTCAGTTAGGTTAGGGGGCGATTTAAACCCGCGTGGCCTCGGCCGTGCCACCTGCCGGCCGGTGGTTGCTAGGAAAACAAGACGCGTTATTCTCGCCCACGCGCTGTCGCGACGTCCATTTAACGCGCCGTTCACACGTGGACACTTCGTTGGGGAATACGTCAGTCACGGCTAAAAATAAACCGGGCCGAGTCGGTGAGCGCGCGGCGGAGCGGATGAGCTCGAGGAGCGCGACGCGAACCGTACGACGGTCGGGACACGACTAAGCCGCGCGGTGGCGCGCTCGGGGCACGGGCACTTCGGCGGCGAGGAAGGCGGAAGGGTAGGGGAACCGGTGCCAATCTACCGAGTCTGCACTTTCTCATGGACCGAATTCCGTTGGATCCTCCGAGCCGATCTTCGAGGATGGTTCACCCGTAAGACCTACGTAACGACGTAGTGCAATATGACAGCCTAATTAAGGTAAATAAAAATGACACGGAGGCTGCGTCAAAAGAGTATAGATTATTCGATTTTTCTCCGAACTAGGTGTACCGAACCCTTTCATACTTTAATACGTGAATACGGAGACCCTAAGGTAGGTCCTGAAACTCGCGAAGTTTCATTTTTTATAAACTATTTTTAAAATACCTATAAACAAATTTGAAAAGAATTGAAATTGCATGAGTTTCAGGACCTTTCTTATAGTCCCCCTATTCACGTTGTAAGGTTTCAAACTATGCGGTAAATCGAGTTGGGAGAAAAGTTTTATAAACAAAACCTCTTCGACGCCACTTTCACATCACCTTAACGATGTCGCGAACAGGAAAGGGTAGTGCCCGTCCTTACCGACTCGCCCGAGTCGTTGGCCGGACTCGCGCAATCGCTAAACGGCATACACGCACGTGCGGTTAGCGTCTACGCATGCGCCGGTGAAACGATGACGCCGGCGTATCCTCTGTGCGTATAGGTTGCGTCGGCAGCATCGGGGACGTGTACGCGTAAACGCGCCTTTACGAGACGATCTCTTTCACGCCTCGAGCACGTGTAAGCGTGATTCATGGACCGCCCGATAAAGACAGAGGCCGGCTTTAACGGCGCTACGACTTTTCGAACTTTACCCGTACGACGAACCCGCCGATTGTTTCTCCCCATAAACACATAGGACAATACATGGACTGCGTAAACATATAGGATACATGGACACCATACACTTGATACCGTTTGCGAAGATATCGGAAAGGAAAGAGAGCGAAGAGAGGGGCTACTCTGAGAAAAAAGATTAGTTGACTGAAACTATATAATAATAGAATATATATGTATATATGTATTGTTGATATACAGAACAAAATAATTGTTTCATTCAAAATAACGGTTCAACTATAGAAAAACCTTGATCGATCATGACATTTATGTTCTCATCATGGAGCCCGAAAATCGAACCATTCTCTTGATATTCTTACGAAAAAAGCGAAAAAAAAAATTTTAATTTTTGCTGTTGGATGGCCTGTCGTCATACTGGACTACGAAGTTTATCATAAATGTTTAATAATTCAATTTTGAGACATGAAATTTACGGCTTTATCGCAATGTTATGTACCGAGAGTGTATGAATTTTATGAATATTTTTAACAGCGTACCTATCCTACGTCCAGAGATCTGACTCGGATCTGACAGCGGATTTGAAATAGAGAAATCAGAGAGAATCGTATTGCACTTTTTGTAATTGTTTCACGTAGAAAGAGAGGGAGGAGCGAAAAACAAGCCTTTCATTTTCTATCCTCGTTTCTCCTAAATTTATAGACAGATAAATGTGCAGAGTCCACGCATTCTGCGTCCGCGGGCAGAATTTCACGAGAACGGTTATATTTCTCATTTCCTCCGATATTCTCCCTGAAATATTACCGAGGTCCATTTCAAAGACGCGAAGTGACATTTCCAGAAGCCTTGGCTCGGTCGGATTTTCGAAAACAAGGTCGCAAGAATTCATGTCGGTGCGTACATGCAAGATATTGAATTCGGGACCATATTTTCGGAATGTCTTTTGGAGCTGGGCCAAAGGACACGAACGTTTGACATATTTATCGGGTAACTGCGGATCGTCTCTCGGATTTCGAATTCAATTCGGGAAAGTCCCGGATTGGTCGGTTCCACATTGGAAGCAATCGATCACATCCGTTTCCCAATTCGACATTGGCGCCACGTCGATTGGAAATCCCTCCTATACCGCGACCGACGCTTTTCCATAAATAAGGGATAAATAAATGAACAAATAGATACGTGGACGAAAGGGATACTCACCTTTCTGGGGAAGGTGGGTAAACGCGGACGTGATTTCGACACTTCTGTAACCCACGTCTTCTGAAACAAATGCAAGTGAAATGATTAATGACACCTGTTACTGGGTGGAAAAGTCGTCGAAATGTGGTACACTGTTGAAAACGTATCGATTTTTGGAACACTTTCAATTATTAATGTATACTAATATCCGAAACCGCGGTGCTTAACATAAAAGCAAGAGAAGATATACCAAAATGGTTAATGACAACTGTCACTGGGTGGAAAAGGCGTCGAAATGTGGTACACTGTTAAAAATGTATCAATTTTTGGAACACTTCCATCGTGTGTATTTTCAAAATACACGCAATTTCGTATATTGTGTGTATTTTCAAAATACACGCAATTTCGTATATTGTGTGTATTTTCAAAATACACGCAATTTCGTATATTGTGTGTATTTTCAAAATACACACAATATACGAATATCAGTATACAAGAGATTTCAAAATTTGGTACTAAATCCCCGAACACAATTGTACATGAAATTTTAAATATTCTTGCTTGAAAAAAAAAAGAAAAAAAAACTGAATACGTGTATGTTATATCTCGAACAGATATTTTTTAACAGTATAAACAAGGATATCGGATACACGGATCCCATAAACATAACCATTTCCTTGATATTCTTGCGAAAGCAACGAAAAGGAAAGGAGGCAAACGGAAGGTCTATTTCTTTTCCCTCTTTCTTCTGCTGCTAGATAGGCTATCGCCATTTTGCATTGCGTAACTGTTTCATATAAAAAGAGAGAGAAACGTTAAGAAAACAGCCCCACTGTTCTCTCTATCAATTTTCGCTATCTTCACAGTTTTATCAATTCCTATACATTCAACGTCACGGTTGAAAGACGATCTTAGCGCCACTCGCGAGAGAACCTTCAACTACCCCGAGTGGCGCCTCTATCGGCGACCAATCGAAGCTCAACTCTCGCTTCTCGATATCGTAACCGATCTTATCAAGTCACTTCGCCTCAATGGACATCGATCGCGTCCGATCGATGCCACGAAAGAATTCAACGTTCTTTTTTGGACTCGAGATAAACGGGGCGCCCGATCGCATGACTCGATATGATTGATATCGCGACAACAATAAAAGAGACGGAGAGTATCGCGAGCCATCTTAGGAAAAAGGCGATAAGCTCTTAGGAAATACTGCCGGTTAAACCAACACGTTTAATAAAAACACAATACCCGCACTTGAGTAAAGAATAAATCGCAATTGCTGTTCCGGATTGAAAGGAAAACATCGCCCAATGCAATTATTAGACATGAAGGGGGAAAAAAAAAGAAAAAAAACGTCAGATATGTTATCGAAGATCAGGGTTATGACGGAGTTAAGATTTAACGCTATAGGAAGGTAACATTTATTTCGGCGACTCAAGGGACGAAGACATCGAATTCTGTGCTTTTTGATCTGTATTTACGCGAAAAAATAAGTGGAATATTTACAGGAGTGCCGGTGACGTCTGAGAATATTTCCGTCCCACGCGAAAAAAAGAAAAGGAAGGAGAAGGGTGCCATTTCTCTGTGTCACTTTTTCAGAATTAAGCTCGTAAAAAGGCCGGCACGTGGAGTCGATTCTTCACGGCCGACTTTTTAGCCATTGGCATGTGCGGATTTATTTACGTACGCGGGCAAAAATGTTTCGATATTTCGAACCCCTTCGAATATAAACAGCCAAAATCGGAAACAACGGCGCCCGGAATAAAAGCCGAATAAATGTACCTTACATTTTGATGGACAATTCTACGTGACAATTCGTACAAAAGTATTCGACCTCGATTCCAAAACCTCGAAGGAAATAATAAGCCGAGGAATGAAGTCGGTACAAATGTTAACAAATGTACTATAACGCGTATCTCAAAATACGCGCACTCGTGTACTTGTACGTGATCGAAAATTAATATTTCGATACATATGCAATTGCGTTAGGAATTTAAATACACAAGTATGGAAATTCCAATGGTACACCTGTACACAAAATATATCCACAAAATTGTATCTCGAGAAAAGCGCGTTACAGTACATATATCGCCACTTCTACCGATTTATTACCCCACCTAACTAATTTGTTTAAAATTTTAAACACTTACACCAATGCTCACATAGAAAAATTTCTCGACGTGCAGTTAATGTTTCTCAGTTTTCCGTTTCGAGGGTCGCTGTATCCGGTTTTGGAATACATTTGTACAAGAAAGTGTTCAAGATATCAAAAGGATTTTTTTTATCTAATAACAAGAGGAAGAAAAAAATAGTTCCTCTGTTCGCATTCTTCCCATCTCGCTGCCTTCGCAAGAAGATTAAATTAATAGTTAGGTTTCCATGTATCTTGCGTTCATATATCACACGTATATTCATGGACATGAATGTCTTCTAATCCCACCCTGGCGGCACCCTGTGATTAGGGAAGGCATTTATGCCTTTCGGTGTACATAATGTACGTACGTACGTACGCATGAGTCGCCCTGTATACCGAGAGGAATTCCACCGGCTAAAAGTCCACATTAACGTGCGTCAGGTAAAGTCATCCGGGATTCTATTTTAAGTCCGAAGGCCGTCATAGTTCGTGGCGTATCGCGACAGTCATTGCGACGACCTTCGCTCATTCGTAAGCGTGTGTTATTAATGATTAATCATCACGAGCCACCTGATCGGGCTGCAGCATGCAGTTTCTTCTCCATTCACCGGTCGGTTAAGGACCTTCCGTCGATAAAGCAGAACGAATGCCACCGGTGAGTAAAATCTGCAGACTACATAGCCCCTAGGATGGCAAAGTACCAATGTAGACTGGGAGACATCAATGCCCTCCCATCCTGCACAGGCGATGCCGCATCTGCAGGGGAGGCATTCATATTCGCCACTGTACCAATGTACATATATATTAGAATGTCATACATCCACGTAGGGTCTACATTGTAATGTCACACACACACACATAGGGCCTACATTTGAATATCACTCATCTACATAATACCTATCAAAGCTATGTTAAGGTGATATAAAAAGGGTCATTGTATATATATATAAAACGTCAAAATATTAATAAAACTTCCACAAACAGGATGCACCAAATCGTTAAAAACTCCAGCATGTGATTATGGAGGCCCTATGAAAGTACGTGGCGCTCATGAAGTTTCATTTATAATAAAACAAGTTTTTATTTATCCCAGACTAGAACCAAGAATACATATTCTTTTCAGAAAAATGAAATTTCACGAGGACCACGTTCTTACTTAAGGCGTTCATAATCACGTGCTGAAGTTTCAAATGATTCGGTGCACCCAGATTGGAGAAAAGTTCTATTAATATTTGTATGGTTTGTAATTGAGTCTATTAAGGGAAGAGTCGGACACGGTTTTGTTGATGCATGTAATTAAATTTTCAGTACACCGTAGCTAGGCGATAAAGGGAAAAACCTAGATAAACGTGCCTTGGAAGGTGAATCAAATCTTAAATAGGTTTTAACTACGCTTAAACCAAAAAATGTTGAATGCAGAGTTAAACCCTAAATAGGGCTTGCTTTCATTGGGAGCTCCTATAGTGATAGCCCTACCTAGGGCCTGAATACAATCTGGTATTTTCTAGTGAATTTTCTACATAGGGCGATGGATTTGCACGAAATAGTCCAACCGTGTAGTTTCCACTCTCAATCGCAACCTTGACACGTGTATGCATTTTTCTTTATAGAATCTGTGCAGTGGTTCGAAACATCCTTGCGGGTTCCGCTGGTTTTTTTCCGTCTTATTTAATAAAATGCGCAGGTTTTTGCAAACGACTTTGTCTTTTGAAGCTAATGCTGTTTAAGTACCTCGATCCTCCAAAGTTATTATATTTGAATACATCCAACGGGATTTAGGAAAGTTCTTTTCGATGGAGCAGCAAATAGGACCGGTCGAGTTTCTCGATAACGAAGTCGTCCTTGGCGATGAAGCGCATCTCGTAATGCGCGATCGGTCGACTACGTCGCGATAAAACGTAAAAGAACCGGCATAAATAAACATTCGAACAACTGGTTCTCGCCTTCCTGGCGTAATCTCTTTGACGATGGCGACTGGTGGGTGGCGAATATGGCGGCAGATTATCGATATTTATCGGCTCGTTGCCTCGATAGAGTCATCGTTCTATAAATACTCGACAACAAAGGTACTCCCGTGAGGCCGGCTTGCCCCTCCACTCTAAATATACGTGTTCACGCACGTATACTTTTGCACACTGGAAATCCGGCACGCGTTTTCCTTTTAATAAGGGGGCGTTCGAAAAAAGCGCCGAGATTATAACGCCTGCCGATTTCGTCTTTCGATTCGCCACCGAGAGCAGTTGCGATCTCTCGCCCCATTGGCAAGCACTGGAAAAAAAACGCTTCCTGAGAAAGTTGTTCGCAATTACTTGCGCAACAACTTTCGTATGAAACGTTTTCGTCCGCCATGTCACGATGACGCGAAAAGTCGGGAAGAAGTTCGGTGTAGAGTCGTCGAAACTCCACGGAGGCGTGCAAACTTGCGATCTCCTGTCCTATCGCTAGGCGCTGGAGAAAAACGCTTCCTGAGGAAGTTGTTTAGAATTGTTTGCGTAACAACTATTGTCTGAAATACTTCCGTCCACCGTGCCTCTGTGATACGAAAAATCGTGAGGATATCAGGCGTCCAGTCGCCGTTTCTCGATGGAGATACGCGATGTTGATATTTTCTGCCCCATCGGCAGGCGCTGGAGGAAAACGCTTCCCGAGGAAGTTGTTTAGAATTGTTGCCGCAACAACTATTGTCCGGAACATTTTTCTCCACCGTGCCTCCGCGACGCGAAAAATCCCAAGGAAGTTGGGCGCCGAGTCGCCGACGCGGGAAGTTGATCGTGGTCCCGCGCGAGGGCCACAGCCGGACACAGGTGGGCAAGAGGGAGACAAAGAGAGTGAAGTTGCGCGAGCAAGGGAAGCGAGAGAAGTGAACAGGGGTCACTGCTCGCCGCATTCCACCGAGTCAAGTCCAAGGCTACGAGAGGGGCCCTGCCGTTAGTCCTGCTCCTCCGAT